AAAAAAACTGTCGAATTTCAGACTTATTAGCTCACCTGTGCCAAAGGCTCAAGTAAGCTTTTCTGATCAAAATTTGTCCGTTGTCTGTCGTTGTCGTCGTCGTCGTTGTTGTCGTTGTAAACTTTTCAAATTTTCATCTTCTTCTCAAGAACCACTGGGCCAATTTCAACCAAATTTGCTACAAAGTATTCTTGGGTAAAGAGGATTTAAGTTTGTACAAATAAAGGGCCATGCCTTTTTCCAAGGGGAGATAATCATGAATTAGAGAAAAAATAATGGCATTTTAAAAAAAATCTTCTTCTCAAGAACCACTAGGCCAGGAAAGATGTACTTCATGTGGAATCATCCTCAGGTAGTGAAGATTCAAGTTTGTTCAAATCATGACCCCCGGGGGTATGGTGGGACCAAAATTGCCGATTAAAGTTTTACATAGGAATATATATAGGAAAAATCTTTAAAAATCTTCTTCTCAAGAACCACTTGGCCAGGAAAGATGTACTTCATGTGGAATCATCCTCAGGTGGTGTCGATTCAAATTTGTTCAAATCATGATCCCCGGGGGAAGGGTGGGGCCAAATGGCAGATAAAAGTTTTACATACGAATATATAGGGAAACCTTTCAAAATCTTCAAATACTTCAAAGCTATGCGTAATGATATTTATAGGGAATCATCCTCAGGTAGTGTAGATTCTAGTTTGTTCAAATCATGATCCCCTGGGGGGTTAAAATTCAAGCCCCCTTTTCCACCCCCCACCCCAGTAAACTTTCAGTTCTGATTTGATATGTAGTTTTTCCTAGCCAATTGCTCAGGTGAGCGATGTAGCCCCTGGGCCTATAGTATTAAGCAGAACTGACTAACAGGCGAGTATAAATGGTACATGTATACCGAAATAGATCATTCTTTGCTGACAATTGCAGTGGAGACTTAAATCTTTCTAGTTAGGAATAGAATTAACAACTTTTAAATAATATATAACATTATTGTTTCTAATTATTCCAAAAAGTAATGAAGTACAATGCTTTGATATGCTTGGACTCTTGGTATTTAAGGCATGGCATTCTTGGTGCTACTTCGATTCCATATGGTCACTAGATCATCTGATTCTATACATAAAAAGTATCACAAATACAAGGAAAGAAAGAAACACAGAAGTCTTTCTTTCTGTGTGCTGTCTAGTTGGCCAAAATAAGCACGAGCTAGAGTATTTATTGCAATGACATTAAATTAATTTTATTTTTATCGTTATAAAAAGCAATACTTTGATTGGAAATAGCTACTTTAAGACCCTGAGTAGCACATGTAATTTAGATGATAAAAAGAAACTTATTATAGAACATTGAATTTAGTTATAAATTTTACGCAATCAAAGACTAGACGAAATTTTCAAATGTAAGTTAAATTAATAATAAGGGACTAAAGTTTCAAAATATTTCAAATAAATAAGATTTTTCACACATACTAGAACTATGTTTGCTTTTAAATGCTTCAAATCCAAGTACAGATTTGAGCCGTAAAAGTACCTTTATGTGCCAACTTTACTATATGTGAAAATTGGAAAATTTTAAATACATGTATATGTATATAAAAATAACTAATAAATACTAAAAATTTAAGAAAAATAGAGGATATTTGGATTAGCATATATCCATTTTATTTAAATTATCCATGTCAATTTGGTAATAGGCCCTATATGGTAGTATCTTTTTGTGCAAAAATAAAAAAAAATTATTTTTTTGAACTACCATTAGGGATCGCATTATTGGAAACAGTAATTTTTAGCTTTACTGGTCAGAGATTAGAAGAGCTTATGCAATAGTAATGCGTCCGTCCGTCTAGCTGTCCGTCTGTCTGTAAACATTTTTTTTTAAACGCTACTCCTCGTACAGTTTTGGTCTGATTTCAATATAACTTTGCACACAAATATACTACATTAAAAACATAGGATATTTCATCGGTTTTTGATTTCGATGAACAGTGTTGCCATGTTTACTAAAAATAGAATTTTCTGTGATTTTTTTTAAAAATACTACTTGTCCTATAATTTTTGTCTGATTTCAAAATGCTACTCCTCCTACAGTTTTGGTCCGATTTCAATATAACTTGGCACACAAGTAGACTAAACTAAGATACATAAAATAGTGCATCAGTTTTTGATTTTGATGAACAAGGTTGCCATTATTAGTAAAAATAGAAATTTCTGTGAAATTCCTTTGAAACGCTACTCCTTCTACAGTTTTGGTCTGATGGTAATGACTTCTTTTCTCATCCTTTGTTATAAGTACAAACCAGTAGAGCTACAGTCTTGACAGAGATTTCTGGTTTAATGTTAAGGTCAGACGACACGTTCCTCAAAAATATATAATTTTTCTTAAGAGATTGTCATTTTTTTTTTCAACGACGAAAGTTCGTTAATGAAAACGGTGTTGTCATTCAGCCTTCAATGTCTTATTCAAATTCGGACTATATAGTAAAACAATTATGAACTCTTTTGGTGTTGAATATGGTTTGTTATTCACCAGAAAAATATCCATATTGTCAATAATTGTATAATGTTCTATATATTTTACGATGAGTATTAAGGTAAGTCACTCGTCAAATTTGTTAAATCAAGGATTTGCTGGAAAGTATCTTAATGATCAATGGTACAATAAAGTTGACCTTTTTGCACTTAAATTTAACTCTTTGATTTATTACTTTATCTCTAATTTTATTTTATCAGATGTTACTACGTTAATAAATTAAATCTTATTTTACATAAATACATACGTTTGAATAATATTTATCATTGAACAAATCTTGCAAATTAATGCGCGTTTATTATTAAGTGACCTTTTTGCACTTAAAAATAACATATTTTGGGTATTAAAAAACTAAATAGGCAATAAAATATTTTCTAATATCAAGCTTTTTTAGAGTTAAGTGCTGATCAGTCACAAGTATCGAGTAGTTTAAGATTGTGAAAGAAAAAATTGGGGTCAGTGATGTTAATTTTGAAATATTGGTTAAGATATGTGATTTTCAGGTAAAAAATGGTGTAAATTTTACCTTAACTTCTTTTATATATCTTCATTTCTTGGCAAAGTTTGTCGAGGGAAGATGTAAAACTTGTTCTAAAAATATAAATTAAGACCTATATTAAATATTCCTGCAAAATCATAACGAAAAATATTCTCAGAGTAAAAGTATGTCAGGCTAAAGTTTCAAGACATTAAATTTAATAGATGTGCAGATTTGCAGAAATTTCTGCTGAATATCCTTCCACCCCAAGAAATAGTCCCTCATAAATCTTGCTTCTTTGCAGATTTTTAAGCAGTTTTTTCGATGAATGTTAAAAAATTTACATTGTTGAATATAAATATTTTATAAAAATTGAATTGTAATAAATATTTTTTTAAGTAAGAGGTTCTGCGTGAATTTTTCTAAAAAACTGACGAGTGACTTACCTTAAAATCACTGTATCAAATTAAAAGGAATTTAATTGCTTGTTTGCTTCTGTATTTTCAGTAAAAAAAATGGATCTTTTAAAAGGATTTGAATATCATTTTATTTATCCCTTTGTTTGTATCTCTTTTTTTCTAGCTCTCCGACTATCTGTCTCTTAAACATCCGGGGCTAAACGACGTTCCCTTGACTAGGTAGAAAACACAGTAAAACTTCAATAATTACCATTTATATAGCACAAGGGCATATATAAATATTTTGACAAGTGATATCTCATTGTTCAGAAAAGGTGGATGTGTGTTTCTCTTAGATATAACAAGCGATTTCTAAATTTTATATCATTAAGGGTTGCAACTGCAACGCTTAATGATACACTAGTGTGTATCATTAAGCGTCGAATATGTCGATATTTGCTTGTTTCATTAAGCGTTGGTGTTGCACTGCATTTGTGACGCTTAATGATATAATTATGTCATTAAGCGGCGATTTAGCATTAGAGGTTGATGATGTCAGCTATTAATGCAATAATTTATGGCATTAAGCGTTGCAATTGCAACGCTTAATGCTATTTGTATCATTAAGCGGCGTTTTATCATTAGAGGTTGCTACAGGGGTGTCTTTATTGTAAAACAATAGCGAAATCATCAAAGCATGTCAGATACTGGGGTATTTGTAGGATTTCTATCACCGTTCTCATACACCAAGGTCAACCTTGACTGAAAATACAAAGAAATTATTATCACCACATTCTTAGAGATCTAGAACCAAAATTCTGACAAATATGTGCACATTTTTGACTAGGTCATAAAAGAAGCACGAACTGTGATGGTTAAAGTGATATTTCTGACAAAAATAATTTAACGACCATAAAAAAAATCTGATACTAAAATGACAAGGCGGTTAGAGAACAGTAGCGGGTATCAAATTCTGTTGACTTTGTCATTGAAAAAAAAAAGATAATATATTGCTGTTAGGACAGCACTTCTCTCAATATGCTTGGTATTATGTAACGAGGAACAAGAAAGAGACATTCCTTTTTATGTCTTACGAAAGGTAAGTTCGAAACGGTTTCATTCTCATTTATATTCTATAAAGATGGTCGCTTGTTTTAATGCCTGAATATTTTATGAAATTTTTAAGATAATATTTCAAAATCTGTTATATATGGGGGTTGACATGATAATATTCGACACGCTTTTCAAAATCCAGTGATTGTTTGAATAGAGCCCAAAGGAAAGATACATGTATAATCTACATATTACATTGATGTGGGAAAAATGCTGGACTAATATTGAACGAAAGACCTAGTCTAATTTTGTCGATGAAAGGCTTATCTTAAAATCACAGAGTAAACCTGTTTTTATTCTAAGTGCATCACATGAACAGTGATAAACAAATACATTTACTTCCCAGAGCAATTTTCTTTTTGTTCATTGAAACAGAACAAATGTTGGCCAGGTAGTATTTTGTTGACCTTGAATACGGTATTAGATCAAATAAAATAACGATAAAAGGAAACAAATCTATATTCGGTTTCTCAAATTTCATACATTTCAGATAAGGGTCTGTCTTACGGTCGTCAATACAGGGCTAAGTCAACGTTTGTTACGTCTGAGGTTACAGCAGCATCCCCCAAAAGGAGGAACAAACGGCGGTCCCTCCCAACACACATCGCAGACATAGTCCATCTGGCAGCGAAGTCACCATCCCGACACAGAAAGGAACTGGGCGCAAGACGGCGATCTTCTGCTTCCGTGCTAGCACCACCTTCCGGTGGCTCCTTGACGTACTTATCTTCTATGTCCGAATGTGACGAAAATGATGCCAATTTGACGTTCCAATGTTCTTGTAGCTTTAACAGAGAACTGACTTTGGAGAATTCACATACCCACAGTCATCGAAAGTTTGGTTATTCCAATCCAGCGATGTCATATGAAGATTTTGACATTGTTGGTGAAAGTTCGGAACATAGGTTTCCATGGCAGCGGGATATATCGGTGCAGTGTTGTATTGAAGGCCACGGCGTGTTCAGGAGAAATTTATCAAGTAACTGTATCGAAAATTCCTCAGACTTGAATTCTTTCCTCTCCAGAAACAGGACATCTTCTCTAACTCGATTAGAGAGTCCATCTCAGACCCGTCCCCAAACCGCCAGCTCAACGTCCAGAGAGGAAACTGAGGAACCACAGTTAGGGATCATTGAGAATGCAATGCCATCAACAGCTAATAGCAGAGAAAGGTAAAAAATGAAACTGTGAAAAATTGTTAACGTGAAGATAACGAACTGTTATTATGCTCAAAAGTTTAAAAAATACAAATCAGGGGCGGGGCAAACCTCTTAAAACATCCGAGGTGGGATCAGGTGCCATGGAGGCGTTAGCATCCCCTTGTCGACCAAACGCATCCACCTTTCCAGGGTGGCACCAATGTAGACTACATGTACTCATTATTCAGTGACCGTTCATCATTGAAAATATTCATTGAAGTTTATTTATCCTACACTAATTTTCTTGTAATTAATTTTTTGTAAAAGTGGAGAGATACCTGTTGTTAATTTACATGGTAAAGTCCATATGTTCTAAGGGTACGTTCTAATTCTAGATAACACATTAGTGAAATTGTCGTTGCACTCAAATACTTCATTCGAACTTTTTAAAAAGGAAAAAACCTAACTAAAAATAAGGACAGAATACTTTCCTGAATACCTGCGCAGAGTAATGGGGGGATAATTGTATTGCTCCTGTCCATTATAAGATATGATCCATTATAAGATCACATATTTGGCTTTTTAAGAGTATCGGGAGTTGATTATAATGATGTTGATTGAGATGGATATAACGTAACATTTTATAAATTGTGGCATATTGACAGGGCCATTATGTGCATAAAGTGAACCCAGCTTTTCAAGTTAAGACACGCCTAGGCTTAAACTTTTAAATGCTGCAGTTATCACATCTTTATCTTTTTTTCTTATGCATAGCTCTTAACAGTTGCACATATAGGTACTTATACAAGTAGATGTTATTTTCCTTGTTGAATCAAGGAAGCCTATTCTTTAAACCATTAAAAGCTAAGATTAGTGCAGGGAAGCTATTTACGACAGACATATGAATGGTGCTATCAGCGATAGATCTTACTTGTAGGTGTATGGAGGCCCTGGGTATGATAAGTCCTCAGACTCACGCCCTTCGGTCCCCTCGGGTGTCACCCATCACCATCAATGACCGATCGGAGTCCCTCTTTGACTCGGACTCGGACCTTCAGCAAGGTAATCAAAAAGGTGTACCCCATACACCTTTCCTATAAAGTGTTTTTTTTTCAGTCAGAAGTAATTTTTAAGAACTAAATTTAACATATCTACTCATTTTAGATACTTTAGTGGACAAGAGAGGTTCACCGATAAAGAAGGTAGGTGAATTTTTTTTAGCAGAGTTTTAGGTGTGTCAGAAAACCTTATGGTATATATAACATATATTTTAAATTAAATAAGTTATTTACTAAATAATATTTAGGGATTACAATAACAGCATAACTAAAAGAGGGAAGATGACAGAGCACTGAAATAAACAAATTTCTTTATGGTTCCTTGTATCACATGTAATAGTTTCTGCGTGTACATGTACATGCACTGTTGTTGATTACTAGTTCGAGTTCCCCCTCCCCATTACCCGTCATATAATTGTAGGGGAGAGACGTACGCTATTCTCTTCTCGTCGAACCTAAGCCCGTCAATGTTTATCCGCTAAATAAAATTACAGGTGTGCAGTAACTTAACTTTTGAACGTAACCACCTTATAATTTGTAGTGGGAGACAGAGAGTATGAAGGCCTCAGACGACCACGAACCCTCTCCCTCCAACGTCAGACGAGGCAGGCGCGCGGCTGTCATTGATACAAAGGTAAACCCGACTGAAATATCACGGTTAACATACTGGTGTACTTATTTATTTTTAGAAAGTATATGTACATGGACAAGAACTTTTTTATTTCAAACAGAACATTGGAGATGTATCGCCAACCAATATCTCTCCTGTCTCGTCGCCATGTTCGTCTGAGGATGAGGCAGACAGGTAATAAAATGTTCTCTCTTTTTTTCCACTTCAGCAACCCCCCCCCCCTCAGATAGAGAAATATTTTCTTATATACTGAAGCTTATAAAATGTTGACCGTACCACACAGTCCATTAATTGTAGGTAACGTTTCTCTCTCAGGAAGATTTAGGCTTTGTGCATAAATTTATAAATCTAATAACAATTTAATTAAGTTGTGTTAGTTTATTGTTTTCGAAGTTATTTTATAGGTGCCGCAGCTGCAGTTACCACTGAGCGGCTAATAAAATCTGTAAAATAGATAATCTGCGAATACTTTTATTACGGAGACAAGAAATTGGAACAAACTCACGTGACTTGAATCCGCAGAAAAAAATGACATCATCAAACAGATAATGCCTGATAAATCTTTTCTGTTTTTTCTCTGATACTTAAGAATTTAAGATGGGACAACTGTTGAACAATAAATTTTAACAAGATATGTATATAGATCCCAACTACATCTAGACAATCCTTTCTTGTTTCTAGAAAAGCATTTTCCCAAAGCAATTTTTAAAAATGTGCTTACTATTATGGTGTTTTGCTGCATTTTTTTTCTTACAGTGATGTATCCGATCGTTTGGGTCCCCGCGGTTCGTTCGATGTTAGCGTTATTCCCAGTGATTTTCTCCCGTACGATCACAGCAACCTTCTGATGAAGAGAAACACTATAGCAGACTTTTCTGGTGAGTTTTAGTTTCACCAGTCGGTCACAACATGGTTCCGCAAATCCTGACGAATTAAAATACATGTATCTACGAAACGTACTGTATATGTAATTGAGTATAATATGTTAATAGAATGTAACTATTTTTTTTTCAGACCATCGAAAAGGGAAATCGTCATTTAATTTAATCAAAAAAGTAAGTTATATTTTAATTACACTGTAAAAAAAAACTAGTTAATGTCACGAAGAAAACTAGTAGATTCACTGTCTATACAATCACTACCTTAATAGTAGTTTTACCAGATATTGGTATATTTACTAGATAAGATAAGTAAATTTAGAATTGATGAGTAACTTTCACTAGGTATCTAAGTATTTATACGACCCCCGCTCCACAACTCACTATCTTAACCAGTAAACTGAAAGTTTACGAGGGCTGTTCAATAAATTATGTCCTCGGTGATCAGAAAGAAGCAAAAGACGCTTTTCAATGATTTAGTCCTAATAATTTAATTTAATATCCTCTTTCAATTAAAACCCATGTCGATAAAATTTTTTATCCAACTTCTGATTGTTTTTAGAACTCATTTTTGGTTATGACCCTTAGTATACTGGAAAATGGCAGATCTTATGATTTCCTTGACTAGTTTCTTCGTTCTGAAAGGTGTTTTTTCAAGTTTGGAAATTGAAACAAGTCAAAAGGCGAAAGATCTGGAAAATATTGTTAATGTGAAAAAAAAATCACTTTCTGTTCATGTCGTGCGGGTTTGGACGCTGTCATGAAGAAGTTTAATGTAGTGGATTCCTGATTCCGGTTCCTTCCTCTCATTAACCTTTCGATTTTTTTGCAAAAAGTTTGCTTTCTAGACTCTTCCAGATATTAAACTGCCTCCCGAATACGAATTTTAACAATTGCTTATAAATCTGTCTTTGTGCTTTTGCAATTCTTTGCTCTTCTCAGACCTTTGCCGTTTTTGTCAAGTGCATCTTATTGTAAATTTTGTTTCGTGGGTTTTAAGCAATAGATTAAAGTTTCATTATCTGTTTGGTTGGATAACTTCAATTTTTAATTTTTTAAAATAATTGTTTAGATATTCTTACACGCTGTCATTTTCACTCATTTTTCAAAACATAGGGTGACCTTTGAGTGCTAAGCATTTTTAATGTCAAATGTTTCTTTAAAACAGTGGGAACTACTCCCGAAATGATGTCTATCAAATTTGCTATGTGTCTTAAAGTCAATCATACATCATCAGTGATTATATGTTGAAAACTGGCAAACAGTACATGAGTTGTTATAATTTTTGTTGGCAAAGACGGTACCCATTTTTGATGTCCATTATATAATTTTTTTTTCATTTAAATCTGCTCCTGCTCATTTGTCTATAAAACAGACATTGGTTTCCTTAAATGTTACATATTTCAGTGAATATTTCTTTGGGATTCTTAACGAGTTTTACAGCAGCTTTCATGAAGCGTTTAATTTTACTCTAGTATACTGATTCTTTACCATTCATTTTACATGGAGTGTCTCGAATAGACCTTGTTTTCCAGCTTCTCACACTGAAACTATGTGATGAAAAGTGGTCACATTAATTGTTATAAATTCATTAAAGATTCAATAATGCGAAAAAGTCAAGCTTAATGTCATATGATATCTGTATTGTATGCCATACAGTTCAGGACATTATTTATTGAACAGCCCTCGTACTAATCACGACCAACGCTTTACGAAACACACTAATTAAATTCACTACGTTTTTCTTTCAGTGTACATATGGGCTTGACACGTGCTTTTTTATTTCAAAAATAAAGATAATACAACTGGTAGTACATGATTTATATATATCTTCCAAACTTGAAAGACCGGGGCGCAATACAAGGTCAAAGCTGTTTTGTTGTGTAGTTTTTCCCTTCTCAATTTTCCTGTGAAGAAGAAACTAGACCATGATTACTAGTAGTCAGACTGATGAGCAAGCATTTCATGATCATTGATGTTTTGTTCAAATCATTGTCCCTGGGGCTATATAATTAGATATAAGTTTTACATAAGAATTAAAATACTAAAAATGACAGGCCAACATGCAGTTCGTCGTTATCAATTTGGAAGTAGCATCCCTTTGCAAAGAACATTCAAGTTTACTAGTATTCAATGTTGTCCCAAGATCTATACAAGGAACATATTACATATATTTGGGTAACGTAGGTACGTTTTCCCAAACATTACTTTCGAAAGTGTTCATTGAAAGGCTGGCCCCTATAAACCTTTTGATGCAGTATAGTGAAATAAGGGTGTTAAGATTGTATAAATAAAGAAGTTGGAACCTACGACCCCCCCCCCCCCCACACATTTATCCCACGAAATAGGATTTTTGAGTTCTGACAACTTCCTTTAATTTGGTTGTCTAATATATTTTCTTTTGGGGGTGGGGGGTGGGGGTCAATTGAATTTTTTTCTTTGGCTGTCTCCGTCCCTATTTTCAAAAACGATACGACGTGCCTGCAAAGTTCATACAGAAATGTATTGGTATTCGCAAAAGACAGTGGTGACTAATTGATCATTTAATTTTGCTCATGTCTTCCAGATGAGAGCTAGAAGCAAAGAATCCCTTAATTCTTTAGAGGACTTACTACGCAAAATGAAACCTACAGAATTCAAAGACAATCATCTATCTATTTACAAGGTATGAAAATCGTCTTTTCAAGCGTCCCAAAAGTTTATACGCCTAATTTAAGATTCTTTAGATAAAATTTTCTGTTATTGGACAGTCCCTACACTGGACGGACCTGATAGCCAGTTCAGACAAGACACCTACAAACATCGTCCTACCCGAAGAAGAACGGAAACGTCGTGAGGCGGTCTGGGAACTTTTCAAGGCAGAATGTGTCTATCTAATTGATCATCTGATGGTGTTAAAGCATGTAGGTAATTTTACATTAATTGTATTTTTTTACGAAGTTGTTTTTCTAAGTACACTAATTTCATGGTGATTTTTTCTTCTTTTAGTGTTTCATGGAACCCTTGAAAAAGTTGCAAGTAGAAGGCTACTTAATGTTTGCCGAGCCGCAGGATCTTCTTGGGAACTTGGACGAGTTATGTTATGTAAGGCGTTTGCAATTTCTTTTGATGGTGTTTTGATGTTTTTGAGTATAAATTTCTTAGTGTGTTTAGATTTCTGAAGCAATGCTATTTCTACAGGTAAGCTACACGTTCTGTAAAGACTTCATCGCGTCCCTTCTGAAGGACATCAGCACGACTAGCTTCGGTAACACCAACGTTTTAATCCAGTCCTTTGAGAGAGTAAGTATCTCCACATTCCATCTAAGCACTGTATTCTGATATTGACCTAGCACTGTGTAGGATACGTTCCTTGTTGCTTTAGTTCACCACTCACTCCCGGGACGGAGGGGTCTATCACACCTACTGTCTGAATTACACCAACGCTCTACCTTACCTACACCAACTCCGCAAAAACGAGGAGTTTGCCGAGTTTGAGAAGGTAACTCATCAGTCTATAATATATACAGTACATATACAATAGTCAGGGTGGTAGTAACATGTCTGTATGTCTGTCAGTAGTGGTGTAGCCAGGATCCTAGATGTAACCGACTGAAGCTGACTGATCTATTGGTGGCGCCGCTACAACACTGTACAAAGTTCCCCTTACTGCTGGGAAATGTCAAGAAGTACACATCAGACGAAGAAGAAAAGAGTGCTCTATCTGACCTCATAGAAAAGGTCAACTCATCATTACGTGAGTATCAGGACTCCTAATAGTGTCCCCTACATAAAGGAATGTGATAGCTAATATATGATTGTTATTCTGTCCATAAAGACACATTTCTTTTTATTTAATACAGAGAAAATGGAAGATAAAATGAAATGGGCCAAAAATTTTGAAAGACTTGAAGAGATACAAAAGCAGCTGATATGGCCCCCCGTGTCTGATTTAGCCCCCAGGGCCTTCATACCAGAGGTTGTTTTACATTGCCTTAGTAGTAAAAAGACTCAATATTATAGGATGTATTTTGAAGAATTTGTGTGTGCGTGTTTGTTTATTACGCCAAGTACAAGTGCTACGGAAGAAAGTAATAATTTCAGAACTAACACAGAATCAATCATAATCAGTGTCAACTGAATGCTTTTTTTCTCCCCTCAGTTTCTCAAGTCCAGTTTACTACAACAACCATGTGAAAACTTTCTGGCAACCCAGGACCGACAATTGCTGTTCGAAGGATATGTCACTTTATACGGTATAATTTTGCGTTGTGCAAGATACATCACATTGTTATTTTTGCTTGTCCAAAATCCCTATCACTGTCGCAAATCATAAGTGAAAACTCACCATGACCTTAAACTTTTAACTTAATTTGCTTCCATTTATCCTAAATACTAATGAAATTACACGTAGCAATGTGTTCCTTAAAACTAATATAAAATATTACAATCAGAAAGACGTAATAAAAGTAAAAACCATTTTTATATACAAATGTAACATAAAAATTTCTTTCATTTTAGAAAATGGTAAAGGTTTTGATATTTATATATTTGTATTCGAAGATGTCTTGTTGCTGACAAAACCAAAGAAAATCCATAGAAAGGTAAGCAAATGGATTGAAAATGTTTGACTGTCCGCTTGTACATAATATTTATTTTAATGAGTTTTTTTTTTTTTTTTTACCAGAAACATTCCCTGGACAGTTCAGCTATGATGGTTCAGACAATATTAGCCAATGAGAAGAGGACTTACACGGTGTACAGACAACCAATCGCTGTGGATCGACTGTGTCTGTATGACGTCAGTCCAGCAGAGGCTTCTGGTATTGATATCTTTGTCTCTTTCTCTCTTGCCTAAAATTTTTGCAAATCTGTGTAGTTCAATTAAAATATCATAAGTCAACAGCTGGTTGAACATAATCAGTAGCTTGCTATTTAGAAATTGCAGCCTATTTCTTAAAATAATATTTTCTTAAACTTAGTTACTCCTTTTTCCTTCCTTAGTAAATGGGTTGAAGAATGCCATAGTGTTGGTGCAATTTAATCGTTATCATCAAATAATTGACGTCCTAACTATACAATGTGGTCAGGAGACAACCAAAGTAAGTCTTCTTGTTACACGTCTAGCTTTATCTCTCTAATCTAAGAGCAGGCTTTTTTTTCAATACATTTTGTTGTAGAATTCTTTGATGGAGAGGTTGCATGAAGCTATAGGAAATCAAAGAACGGCGTCCGCGTTGACAAGTCGGACGAATTCCGTTTCCGACGTTCCACCCTGAACAGAGACTTCAGATGGAGATGCCCATGTCTTTCATTGTTATCAACATGTTATGTACACAAACATTCCTTATTGTTTCCCTCTATTAAAAACATAGAAATCTTACTATTTTGATAATTATGAATTTTTTTACTTATTTTTTTAAATGTCATGATTGTTGAATACATGTGTATTTGAATCACATCAGAGGTGATACTAAACTCGGATTGGTTTTAAAGATTTTTCTTTTTAAAACATCAGATAATGCTACCATTAACCATTAAAAATCTTCACTGAAAAATAAGGGCTGCACAATTTCACCCTTCAAAACAATAAACACATGCTTTCTTTATAATTTAATAGGAAATATGGTGAGAATGAGATCTAATATAAAACATCCCTAGTTGCTCACAAAAAGTGCACAGACAAAAACAACAATGAATTAAAAAAAAGATCACAAATGTCAAGGTAGAGATAAACATGGTGAGATTCATAAACAACCATCTAAAGAGAAAGGATGGTACTCTGCTGTATACAGAAATATCATAAATATGTAATAGACAACCACCAGAAAACATTAAAACAATGAATGATGTAAAAACAGACAAAATATGTAAATACATGAAATACAATATGTACTGATAAAAAAGAAAAATTCCCGAACCTCAAGTTCAATATATTTTTTTTCCAGACTAATCTTGGGTAAAAAATGAAAAAAAAAATCATTTAAACATACTTTACTAATGGCTTAAATGTGCAGCAATGGGAATTTATCATTCACAACATGAATATTGTACACCATATACATTCATGTATACTGGCATTTTTAACACTGGTAACACCCTTCGAACACCCCCTTGAAAAAATTTCCTCAATGAAAATACACCTTGCTCACTTGATGAAAATAAACAGGCAGCACTCGCGCCCAGCTCTGGAGGTTTTGTAGATAAAGCTGGGAATGTTATCTGGAATAATGACATTGACATACACAACAAACATTGATAGAAGGACACGAAGAGCTGCGTAGATAATAAATACAGGTCCTAAAGCAACAATGTTGCTCCATTTTGCTCAGGTAAGCTAAGATCACACCAAATTATGATATGATTGGGACATAACATTTGTGCTAACAAAATTTTACAGGTCAATTAATTATGTAGGTGATCAACACTATATTAATCGTAAACATCTGAATACGAATAAATTATGGCATAAAATAGAAACAACATGATTTAAGAAAAGTACAAAAACATATTTACAATTTCATTATAACAGGTTAAGTTTGTTACATTTGGCACAAAATCACACAAATTATGCGAAGTACAAGTATAGCAAAGGTTTTTTTTCCCCTAAATCTTTGGTCACTGTCAGAGGTAAGTAATAAATTACTTCACATACAAAGGTAAAACAAGAACATTATTGCACAATGTATATACATTTAAAGAGAGATTCACTTTCCTGACACATAAAGCTTGTCATGGTATAAATATTGAGGAAATATTATGCACATAATAAAGATATCCTCATCACAGAAGATGAAAAGCAACTATCATAAATAATCTGTACCCTATTTTTGAACAGTTGTGTCCACAATAGTAATTGTAGGAACTAGATTTTTAACATTTGGTATAACAATACATCCTCAAAATCTCAAATCAAAGCAGAAAAATTGTTCAACCATTCATCAGATAAAAAGACAAATCACTCGTTTCAGCATCAGAGATAATTTTTCAAAAAGATTAATGTACTTCTACATCCATACTTGATGTAAACTTCAGTAATAAAGAGGGAACCATGAATAATCATGTCAATTCGATTCTTGCCCCTACTCTCCTTATCTGACACAAATAGCCCAGACAGAATAACTGTACTTGTCCAGTACAATTTATCTGGGAATCAGAAGCAGTAAGTTACATGGGGAGTATTCCGTCTTATATAACCTCGGGGTAATCTTTGGGAGTCTCTACTATCAGGCCGTATCTCATGACAACCTGGCCAGTGTAATGGTCAGGAGAGTGGCAACCATCACCAGTAGGACGGACACCTGGGTAGACAGGGGACCACCACAGCCCGGGTTAGTCTCCTGAAACAGAGGGATGTAAACTGTAGATATAATACCTACAAATACTTACAGGGCAATATACATGTATAGGTAATTAAAGGGATTCATCAGTCTTACCCTCTCATCAAAATCATAACAGTTTGTTTGTTTGTTTTTTCTATATCTTGCTGTCTGGTTGCATATATCTTGATCTGAAATGTCAGAAAACAGAACTGCCATCACCTTGAAATCTGTTAGAAATCAGACAATGAATGTTTCCACCCCTTATATTCTAAATCTTTACTAAAGTGACCAGTATCTGACCTGCTATTTCCATTTCCACGGGTTCCTGTATGAGATCCTTGGATTTGGCCGATTCATAACAATCAGGACAGGCTGAACTAATGACCACAAACAGGAGATTGGTCTTAGGCACGAGTCTGGCCACGTAGTCTCTGTAACACAGAACAACCAATCAGAGTCAATATAACAAACAAACAATCAGTCTCAGAGTCAATATAACAAACAACCAATCAGTCTCAGAGTCAATATAACAAACAACCAATCAGTCTCAGAGCCAAATTAACAAACAACCAATCAGTCTCAGAGTCAATATAACAAACAACCAATCAGTCTCAGAGTTAATATAAGTCAATATAACAAACAATCATCCTCAGAGTTAATATATTACGTCAATATAACAAACACCAAGTCAATATACATGTATAGGATAACCATGTCATCTTGACTCATGATAAACAAAAAATCAAAAATGTTTTTAAAAATCAGCCTGTGAATACTGGGTAGAACTTATACCTTGTGCAGTTTTCATTACAGGGGTAGATAATTCCATGCACATCTTCCTTGAACTTGGGATTAAAATAATACTGAGCTCTTTTCTTGCTGCAAATGTACTTCTTGGGTTCCACTGAAATCAAAATTGAAATAAGTCTCCTGAAAATATATTCTTCATTTAAATACCAAGATCAATTACAACACATACCTATTACTGTAGATCACTAAATTTTCATGACACCTTATTTTCGCAAGATAATCATTGATTCTTGATTAGTGAGACAAAATTTTCACGAATTGTGGTTATTGCTCTTTATAATCTTAAGCAATACTATTATACGCGAGAATTAAATTTTCGCGAGCATAATGTCTCGCATAATTACGCGAAAATAAAGTTCTCACGAATAAAAAGTGATTTACAGTATTTAAATGAAAGCAAAAACATACATCTGTTTTTTGTTTTTTTTTTTGATTTTGAAATTTAATAAAATATTTTGTCTAACATTTATTTATAAAAATTTCATAAAACTCCATCAAAAGACTTTCACTTTAACTTTGTTTCACTTGTCAATGTATTATTCAAATATTTGAAATACATGTATTTATACCGTAAAAGCAGAAAATTGAGCAAGGATTCAATTTTCGCATTTTTAGCAAGGATGTTGAGATAGCTAAATTTTTATATTGCTAGAAATTATTCTGCATTAGAGGTTATCAATATCTTTACATGTACTAAAAAAGAGTATGGGCACAATGGCTAGGAAAAGGCAGAAATCACTTCAGCATAGAGGAGGGGGTAACTTTTTTATTGCCAATTTAAAGGCAAATTTCTTCAGCCAGCTTCACAATGCCCACCTTTTTCAAAGCTTTGCCTTATATACCCTTTGACTAGTCCAGGATTGACAGGTCATGTCACTATTTGAAGTCTTTCATTTTTTCAGAAAATACTCCTTAACCATTTAATCTATACAATGTATATTCATAGGTAAAACTCTGACCAATTGTTTTGACCCCACCCTATCCCCAGGGTCATGATTTGAACATACTTAAATCTACATTACCTGAGGATACTTCTGTATAAATTAGACTAATAATGGCTTAGCAGTTCTTTAATAGATGTTAAGATTTTAGAAGATATTTCTTATAGACTCCTTTGTAAAACACTATGGTCCCCAGTCAGCACCCAACCTACGCGGGTCATGATTTAAACAAACTAATGACTTGACTCTACACTACCCAAGGATACTTCTATATTAATATGACTAATAATAATAATTATGATTTAACTGCTCTTCTTCAGAAGATTTTTTGAGATTTTTCCTGCCAATTTCTATGGCAAACTTTGCCCCCCAAGTATGGCCGTGCCCTACCCCAAGGGTCAAACTGGAACAAACTTTACTCTACACTACCTGTGCATACTTCTATAACTATAATACTAATCTTGGCTTTGCTGCTCTTGAAAAGATTTTTAATGACATTTCCTACATCTACATACCGTATAACAGGTTATTTTTACTGCTGTAAATTTTTACGAATTTTGGTTCAAATAGAGTGATTTCAATTTTTATGTGTTAAATTTTTACGAATTGAGCATGTCCATAAAAATCAAAATCATCGGAGATAAAATTCCAGATCAACGATTGTTAGCACTTTGAATGTGTTTACATACAAATAAAAGTGACAACCCGATGTAAAAAAAAAAAAAATTCTGTGATAATGATTCTTCGAATTATAATTTGTTTGTATACCTTTACATATACCGTATACCCTTCATGAAATCCTTTTTTAAAATACACATTGCTAGCTATCATTATTGTTGAGCACCACGTGCTTGTCTTGATTTTACCAGAAACAAAGAGAGACAACAAAAACCATCATGATTCAACTGACCCTACGTATTAGTCGAATTTTTTATTCCAAGCACATAGAAAAAGATTTAAATCACGGGTATAATTGGAAGACCTGTAATTATTAAGTCATTATCAGAAATTATGCGTCTACATGTACAATGTATGTATGCTTACTGTGTATTAACAGAGAAATGAGGTAAGTGTAGGTCTAACTGTTTAATTAACTGGCCATGTTTGAATAATTTATGCAAGTTAATTAAGATTTACCTGTATGATCCCAATTTATGATCAGTTTTAAAAATGCTGAAAAAATACCAACAGTATTAATTCTATCGCCACCTGGGTCTGAGCAGAATGGCAATTCGCATTACTCTCATACATACGATGTTGAAAATTTAGGCGAGCTGTTTTTTTTTATTTCTGTGAAATTTCACGCGTTTAATTTTTACAGATTTTATAAAACTCATAAAAAATAGTAAAAATTAGCAGCTTGTAAAAAATACCCATTATATGGTATTCATATGTGAAACCTCATTATCCTTTTGTGCCCCTCTTGTGTAAAACTTACTCTGAAAAGCAGCAGTCATGGGTGGAGGACTGAACCAACTGGAAAGAAAGACATAGAATATATTTGTATAATGATATAATTATATCAATGGTTGGTGAAAATACTCATATCTAACTCTTAAAAAAATAAAGACTATATTTACCTGTAAACATTCAAATTCACAACAGCCCTAAAAAAATAAGAGTTGAGATTAATTTCATTAAAACAAAACTTTTCATAAATACACTTCCCAAAGTATCTTCACATATATATATTTAAGTATGGAAATTAATAATTTTTAGTAAATAATATTTTTTTTAATTTTTGAAAACTGATAATCATTGACGTGTCTTCTTGAATGTTAAACAGAGGTCACTCATTAACTCTGAGATAACTGGTCCAAATTTCTGCAAAAAATGTCAGTACTCACCATGTCCACACACTGTTCCACCAGTTAAAGGTCAGAAACTCGAATAATAGAGTAACAGAGGGCTGAAAAGACAAAATCCTTCTCATTATACAGTCTGGTGTACTAATATTGTAGCAAAGTGTCAGGGGTATAATTTTGCTTCTTAACACATATAATTCATCTATCTGGCAAGTTCAGTTGATTTTCAAGCCATACAGAGTGAAAATCACTCAATTTCTTTTAAGTGTGTGTGCTATAAGCCTGTTTTACTGCAATTCTCATCTTCTTCCAAACAAAAACGGTTGATTCAAATACATATCTCAAAGAAAACGTTATCTAAAATTAGATTACTGTGTACATATTTTATACAGGTTTGCATTTGCTCAGTGATCTAAACATGGTTGCATGCTTTATTAGTATAACCTACAATTCTGAATCCCAGAGGAGCAGCACTGGTCTGATTTCCCCAGTCTATACATGTAGCCTGATAGTCCACTTCTTCAATCCTGAAATAAAATCCACAATATTAAACTGTTTACAGATATTTGCCTACTGTTTGTACATGATATAGCAACTTTATTGGACAAAATTTTCACTTTTATTCATCAATGACTTTTTGTAGTCATGTTGTTCTTGAGCATGTGACTTTGAAAACTTTAGACGTACTTTTTTTCCACTGGGTCATAATTCCACAGAATCTCTATTTCTCTGGTAGAAAATCATGCCGATATCTTATCTCTCCTTATATGCCTTATATCTGTATTAAGTTTAATGGGACAAATTTCCGTGGAAAATTAGTGAACGCGTATATACTAGCGTAAATTAATACCAAGCTGAAAAAAGTACATCTACAGTATTCAAATATAATTTTGTATAAAATTTGGACCTCATAATCCGTGTTTACATGGTTAGAATTTTTTAAACTAGAATTTTTCACTACATGAGGATGATATGGTTTATCATTTTTAAGGAGGAAGGTTGTTCCTTCTTTAATGTGTTCCCCACCCCTTACAATGATTTGTAGAGCTGGGTATCGCGGCTGAAAAATCGTATCGCGATATATTGCAATATTATATTTTGTATTGCAATATATCACAATATAAAATTTTTAATAAATTTTGCTTTTCATCAATGTTAAAAGAAAACAAAAACTCAAATTCCATGTCTATTCTCGAGTTGATATTACAACTGCCTGATCGCGTTGTGTGTACGGAAGTGGCAAGCTAAGTTTTTGTGGCACAACTTTAAGAATCAAAATGTAATAGCGAGCGTCGCGAAGCGACGCTCGTCACTGCGAGCTCTTAAAGCAACGCCTGTGCGAAGAGAAAATTCGGACTACTGCACATTCATTCGATAGAATTTTTTGACGCCGTAATTTGGACCCACAATGCATCACTTGTTAAAGCTACGTTCTCACGAGAATAGCAGCAAAAGTTCAACTAAAAGTAAACATGCCCTGATTTAATTGATAAATATTGAAGATAAATAGTAAACGAAACGTTCTTCATTTACTTTCGGCACTGTTCATGCTTCTTTTTGGAAATGTAACTTACATACGACGTCATGTGACGTCAGAGTCTAGACGCACCAAATATCATGTGCAGTTTGACGAGCCCGATCTAAATTATAACAAAATAAAATATAGATCTGCGCTCGCCATAACGGTCGCACCGTCAACATATTATTCAGATTCTGCTTTAACACGAAGGGCTTTCATGTAACAGTTGTCGTCTTTTCGTTTCTGATAGACATGTCTCTGGTTTCCGATCAAACTTCACGTTGCTTGCCGCCATATTTCACCTTGAAAGGGGCAAATAACTCTTTTTGTAACAATTTATAGGATATCGAACCCGAACCGGTATTCACAAAATAATACCGCGATACGTATTGTGAAGAACAAAATCGGGATACACCGGTTAACCGGTAATATCGCACAGCACTAATGATTTTGATAAAAGTTTAATCCATTCTTTCATTGTAATATTTGCTTAAATTTTACTTATTTCCCTGTTGTGGTAGTTTATCTTAAATTTTAGATACCTCAGATATACTTCTCCATATAACTGTGCCATGAGTCCAGCATCAACATGACCCAAAAATCGACCAATCTATAATGAACACAGTTCATACCATTAGTAAATAAAAATTTCCTTATAATGATACAAGTATACACATTGTCAATTTCTTTATATTGATCTTCTTTTAAGCAGTTTCTATTGCTTCTACTTTTAATTTTTTTCTGGCTAAAAATAAGCTTATTATCTTCTTGTTTCCATGGCAAGAAAGCCTTAGCAGTATATATATGGCCTGTAATTTTTGTTGTTATGCCTGACCTGTTCATTGTAGTCCGGGTGACTGGCTGCTACTGTAAAGGCTCCGTCGTCCACTAAGAAACATATGACATTGTCCTCGTCCTTACAGCTGTATACAGAGCCACTGGATTCAGACATCATGTTCATCAGGTTAACCAGGTAGTCATGGGTAACAACCATACCAACCACTGTAACACACAGATTACATATTAAACAAGCTTACTTCTCTATATAGAACAAAAACCAGATGGAGTAAATACACAAAGTAAACAAGGTGCTCATCTCTCTGTCCAATAGAGTAAAAATAAAATTAATCAGCTTTCTTTCATTTCTTAGATATAGACCCAAAACACTGCCCATTTCTCATATGAATAAACAGAATTTTTTTTTTTTAGATAATTGAAGCTTGTAAACTGGATTAGGATGTTAAGTTTCTGATGTTATGTTTCACATGTGGTTACATTTAGCTGCCATCAAGGAATATACCTGCTGATGGCTTTTTCTGTTCTTTAGTACTCATCACTGCATGTGTCACCATCACTGTAGGAGTGGTCTCATTGTCCAGAGGACCTGAAATTTACAACCATTGTATATTACCAATTCTACCACAATTATCGCAAAGATCAAAGAAAACCGGCGGACATCATTCTCCAATAAATCACAAACGTCATCAAAAAATTATCAGATCAGAAACATGTATCAAATCTGAACAATTCAAATGCATGTTTGGCTGTAGATTGTAGAATGAAATACTTGTTTAGACCGCATCGATGTGTCGTCTTTTGCAGTATAAACACTGTAAATTGCATAAAGTTGCTGAACAATGTCGGTTTTTATAGCTAAGCGGGGCTATTCCACGGACCTCCCTACACATTTAAACAATGTGATTTTAGTCACAATAGAGTAGTAAAACGGGAACATGATTTTGTTATTGTATATTCATTATAACTGATCAATACATATTACGAACAAATTTGTAATTTTAAAAAGGCTATTTTTAATGTAACGAAAGCTCAAATCATCTGCATTCCATACACAGGTAAGCAAACAAATTTTACCTTTGGTGTGAAATGGAACAGTGTAATCGAGACATGGTGTCCTAATTCGTTTCTCTATAGAGGAAACGATCAGCCGTATTTTAGCGATTTTAGTAGACATGGAAGAACAGAAATAAAGTCCTTGTTGTCGTGAATGATGCAGAATAATCTCCGAGGTTATTCTGCAACATTCACGAAAATGCAGACTTTATTTCTTAAGAAAATGAAATTTATGATTTATTTAAGTCATCAAACTCCATATAATTCAAGTCATCAAACTCCATATTAAATAACACTACATTCTTCATAAAAAGCTTGAAGTATGTTCATGTGAAATAAAGCCCCAATGTGTTTTAGATCATAAATTCAAGAAAACTAAGACTGTCATATTGCTTTAATCGCTTTACAAACATAGTCATTTTGTAAAATTATAGACTGTCTAATAATATAATATGATATATTTATTTTATATTTTGTAGATGGTTATTGAAATTGAAAATGCAGTGGTTGAAATGTACATCAAGTTTTTTTTATTAAACCATTAACTAATCTGCAAGATGAATTTAGTCTTATAAAAAGTGATAATAGGTACAGGACAGCCTACACTTTATAATAACAAACTTGTTGTTCTCCTACCTAGTGTGTAGGGGGCGTGGAACATGTATTTCTGGTCGTAATGAAGCGCTCGTCTGAAATATGCCGAGGTCCACGGATCTCTGTACTTCTCCATCTGGGCGGACTCACTAACAATTCACAGTGGTACTCAATCAAAACATTCTCAGTGGTACTCAATCAAAAAATTCTCAGTGGTACTCAATCAAAAAATTCACATATCACAACTTAAGATAGGTATGTATGGAAAACAATTCAAATTGATATTAAAAACTGCGAGGGGGTGATTTCTATTCAAGATTGCACATGATGTCAAATTTTTTTCTTATCACATAATCATACCCCTCCTAATACTTGTGTATATAGGTAAAAAGAAGTTCTAGGTAAGAAAAAGCTTTAGAAGTTGTAATTATATTTACCTTTGAGGATAAACAGTTGTAAGACCACCATAGGTTGCCAAGAATAATGCTGTAGTGCTGAAATGCATAAAGAAAATAGTATTAAAAATCAATTCAATTCTATGACAATTCAATGGAAGATAATAGATAAAAGTAAAATATAATTACAATTTGTTCATGTAGTTTTATAATGTACAAAATACAAAGAGCTGGCCATGGATCTCAAATTTTCCTTTCTTAACATGTGATGATACATTTAATGTAATGTATATAAAATAATTCAACCCTCACCACAAGAAAAGCAACAAGGAAAGGTAAAATGTATGCATCAAATGTTTGAAGCAATGTACGTCATTAAAACATGGGTATTTTATGTTAGTGAACCTTTGTGACAAACAAGTTATGTTTGCAAATAGCTGATGTCTTTTAATATTTCAGTCATGCCACGATAAAAGAGCCAATTCAAGGAATATAACATGAAGAAAAATGATTGTTTCAAATAGCCAGTTAAACAACATAATTCACTAAGAGACATATCTGTGCACATGAAAAAAATTATCCACAAATCTTGTATTGTTAACTTTTTACAATTATTGGTTTAAAAGTACTGTTACGGAAGTTAATAGTTGAGCATGACTATTAGTTTAAAATAAAACTGAACTTTCATTTTCTGCTATTTAGTATATACTGAATGCTAAAATATGATTTTTGAAGACTCACATGAATCAGATATTAATCTTAAATTTTGGGAAAAATATTATAACGGAAATTCATTTTCAGCCTTAGAAATTGAAATTATCAGCAATAAATAAAAGTAACATTGGATTTAAAATGCCAATCAAAAGTATAAAGTATTTTGTTCCCAAAATAATAAAACCTTTTATATCTTTAATGCAAAATCTTTCCTGAATTACTGTTATGGAGGTTTCTTTTCTTTTGAAAATACAGTATATGGTCTATATTGCCTGACTCTCAACGATAATATTAGGTTCAATGGTCACTTACAGGTAGGTTTCAGTTCCTTCTGAAATCTACAGTCTGTGTGTGCATACATGTTTTTATACAAAAGTGAATTTTGACATAAAAAAAATTGTTAGGAATTCTTTTTTGTAGAATGACTGAGTTATAGATTATCATTATTCTCATCTTCCTTATGCATTTTGTATCCATAAAAAAGTTCCTGGTTCTGTGATCACCTGAAAACTGCATAGAATTTCAAATTAAATGCTGACTGCTTTTAAAGGGGGGGGGGGGGGGCTTGTGTTAAAATAAGGTTTTGAATGACTATGAGTCCCCTTTTCAGATAGCTTGATAAATTATTTCTCTTCATTCCAGAAGTAAATAAATATTCTGAAAGTTCTGAGAGAGAGAGAGAGAGAGATAGTCATGCTGCAGTGCATCATTTTAGTTATTCAAAAAGCATAAACCCATGCATTGGAAAGCAATATCTCAAGCAGATGAGTAAAAACAAGAGGTCCATAGGATCTTAAGCTCACCTGAGAAAACTTATTCTAACTTTTAATGTACACGTACATCAACTCTCTATCATACTGCATTCTCAACAACCATAAGAAAATGTATAATAAAATGCCAGCATGTAATTTGAAGAAAACTGAAATCTCGACTGTACTGTGTAATGGTTTGTACTTTTACTATATAGAGGGAAAGAAATCAGCATCTCGACTTAAAAGTAAGAAGCTTTGGAAACATCAATAAGTAATAAATATGGCCTTCAGTTCAGTTTACCTGTGTACACGTCATATTTAACTCAGACCAGAAACAGACGAGGAGCAGCATTTAGAAGGAATTCTCTGAATTTAGTAAAGTTTCAGTATGTTTGACGAAGATTTACAGCTGGACACACAGATAGATGTAGAACTCCTTACTAATGCATGGGTACTTCTGGTCTCTGACCAACTGAGCTTAAAAATAGCTTTGTATTTCAGGACATTACAAATTTAAGAAACACTCTTTTAAGGTCCATTTTGGCTGAACACCCCCCCCCCCCCCTTCCCATCCATTGTAAATAAGAGTAATCTCCCTGAAAGGTCAAACAAAAGTTCATGCTCCTGGTCAACCTTAGATTGTTATCAATAATGTGTGTCTGATAATGAATTGGAAAACTCAAACAACTATGGACTATGTGCAAACTTTGGTTTGAAAAGTCCCCAAAGCTCTTTGACTCAGGTGAGCTACATGTACATGTATCTGTTCACCATAGCTTGGTAATAAATGTACAGGTTCACAATTAGTCAGATTTAGTATAAGGAAGTTAAGGGAAAATAAAACAAAAACCAAAAAAACTTTGTTTACTTTGCAGCTGTTTGTGAGTCATCAGAGCTGTTATCACTGTAAAACAAAGTGTGCTAATGATAAAATCTCCTAGCAACAAAAATACACCTTACAACTTCCTTCTCCAAGCATGATTACACCGAGTTAATATAAATACCCTTTTTTACTTGGGAAGAAAATTCAAAATCTAAGAAATGGATCTTTTTTTTTGGTGTCTAAGATTAACTTTGTATTACATTTAACAACTTGTTGAATTATTTGGCAAAATATATTTTTTAACAAGTCAATAAATACCTGGTATTTGATATACGAAATTTCTGAATATTTTAAAAAAGAGATGAACTTAGTGAGTTGTACAGAACTTGTTTCCAAACTTGTTTCGAGTCCTTTTGATTGAATCAATAAAATATGTTCAAAACAAACAACAATATCTTAGCAGAAGTGCTTTCCACCAAAATAAATGTACACTTTATGCATGTGCCATTTTGAACATTATTTCAATAGCTGCATGTTACAGTTTACTTAAGATGCTTAATTAATAAAACCTCAAATGAAATATGTGACAAAATAACTAAATTATATGAGCCTGCCATACCTTGGGTTGATGAAGTCTAATTTCATCAAGTCCTTGATCATCAGAAAGTGGGCATTAGAGATGTTCATATCCACGTACAGCTGTTTCATCTCATTCGTGTTAACTAAATAACCAGAAAAGGCCAATACAAAACTGAACATTGTAAATAGCTAAACTGTAATACATGTATAAAATCTTTTGTAAAGCTTGATTTGTATAGCAATATTGAATCATATATAATACACGTAATTCTAAATCCTTTTTCTTGTTAACGATAATTCAAATTTCAAGTTAACACAAGGTACAATCTAATTAAGATTTTAGATCCGCTCTCACACACTCGCTTCACTAACATCTAACGACATCCCGTAGAGGTTCACATCATAGGCCAAATTCTATCAACCAATTAAATCGTCGCCTGCAAAATCATCGTATATTTGTTGAAGCGAATAAGTCTAGAGTTGTTCTGAATTTAGCGTCTGACATGACCTTCTATGGGATGTTGTTAGATGTAAGTGTAGCGAGTATGTGAGCGGATCTAACATCTAATTTTAATTAGATTGCACAGTGTAATCAAGATAAGATGTCTTACAGTCTCCTGGATTTTGTGAATAATTTTGTAAGGCAGAAATCAGATCCTCCACCACCTGACTGGAGTTATGGTTCTCTGTTATCATGCTGGATTTGTAATATTTCCTTAAAAAAACAACAAAACTTTACCGATACAGTACCCTAAGTGAAATGTCCATTATGATTTATACCATTAATGTAGATATCTGTGGAAATATTTTGAGAAGTATACAGGTAAAATTGCAACGTATGTTCAACATATGTTTTGAGTTGGCTATATGTTCAACATGTTTTAAACATATGTTCAACATAGGTTTTAAACAACATAGGTTTTAAACATATGTTAAACATACTGTGGAAAATTCATACATGTATGTTCAACGTACGTTTAACTTATGTTCAACATAAGGTTCTCAAAACATATGGTGAACATACGTTGTAATTTTACCTGTATATATTCAAACTCTGTCAAATAGTGTATTAAAGTTGAAATACATGTACATATAACAAAATTAATGATTATTCTCTTTACAAGCTAAGTAATTTGTTTTGAAATTCTTTTGGATTTTTTTATAACTCCATGACGAATTCTGCCAAAGGGGATAAAGTGTAACCTACATGTTCATCATCATGTACAGTTAATTCTCGATAAACCGCCACCTTTTGTAATTTAGAAATCATGGCGGTATAACGAATTTGGCAATGAATTGAATTTCCCATCGTTTAGGAAACCAGAAGTAGAGTTACCGTTCTTAGAAATACAATTTAGCGTTTCTATTCTCATTATTACATGTACATGTACATATTAAAACATATTTCTAAGTTTTAAAATACTTCAAGTAATTTTTTATGTACAATTTCGCTAAAACAAAATGTGCAGTTATGAAATAAAGACAAGCACATGTGGATGCATGTAAATCTGCATGACTGATATTGAAAAAAAAATGCTGGGTCGATCGTCGTGATATATTGCCGATAATATGTAAAATGAATTCTTGAATAAATTCATTGTTTAAGGCATCATTGTTAATAAAACGTTCACAATTTATACCGAATAATTATTTTTTAAGCAAATTTTGCATTGTTTAAAGCAGAGATCATCAAAATAATATCGTTATCTGTGTTCTTAAACAACGACCGCCTTCGTGGCAAAGCCGTCACTAAATGATTTTTATTAAACAGAAAACAAAATTATCATAACAGTTCATGTTAAAATCATTGTTTATTTAATTCTTATTTAATTATTTAATTGCATGTACCTTGCCTGGCTTTGCATGCTTTACAACAGGGATAGCGTCAACCAATTAGCCGCGCTTCACTGACCACATGCACCTGTGGCGGTATATCGAGATAATTGACACTTAAAAATGGACGTTTGTTGTGAAAACAGGGTGGCGGATGGCGGTATGCGAATTTGGCGTTATAAAGAGAATTTTATATAGCAGGAAAAACGTTCTTGGCAAATCATGGCGGTATAGCGAAAATGGCGATGAATCGAATGGCGATAATTCGAGAACTGACTGTATATTAAATTTGAGTTTTCTTGTTCCAAAACAAATATTCCTATTTTGAGATAACAAATACATGTAAATGCAAATTCAATTTCAATATTCTGGCTGTCGACAAGACTTGCTATAATACTTATTCAAGAATAAAGAAGAATCAGTCTTACCAGGGTGCTAGTAATTTAGCTGTATTCTGCTCCTTCAACATACTGATCATTTCTAAAAATTTAAACAGATAACTGTACATTCTGCCATCACAGCCATACAGCTATACATGCTTAAGACAATATTACTGGGCCATCAGTGGAATGCCATGAATTCAAATTATTCTTTACTATTTCAGAATCTTTTAATATCTTTGCAGATCTAGTCATCAAGAACTACTGCTATATGCATGGTGAGAAATCATGGAATATATTTAGGTCCTGTGATATATTTACTAAAATGTTTTTCTTTTTAGTTGTCATGTTTGATATACATGTATAATAAATTCAATAGAGAGGTAAGCTACCACTGGATTTCTCCATTACCTTTGGCTTTAGCCTCAGTGAAATCTGCATCTATTTTCATGATGTATTTTTGATAATGTGGAAGAACAAGACCAAGACTGTAAATAAAACAGAAGTCTGTACAAATCCAAATACCCCCGATACATAAAATCGAAACCAAATTGTACTCACAGACATTTCTCACCTACACACATTTATCTAAATGTGTAATTATGTACAACATTTCCTCAGTCACCAAAATTTACAATTGCAAATAGATTTAAAGAGCAGTACACAAAGATAGTCAATTTACAATACTGGACCACCTCCTCTTATTTATGGTATTGATTTATTCTGTTGTATTTAAATGTTTATACATGTATATTAATGACTTGTCTTGTGATATGTGATTATTGTTTATAAATGTACAATGTAAATATGCTGTAAAGAAGACAATAGCTAAGCATTGATTGGATTATCTTCTATAAATAATCCTCCTATTATATGTGATTTATACCTCCAATGATATTTTAACTCACATCTGAGTGAGATACTAATTTCCTGTGTCTACCCTCTCACCTGAATGTGGTATTTCCAATAGGTGTGTAATAATATTTCCTTGTTTCTTCTAGGATGTAGTTCTGTTAAAAAATTAATATGGTCTGATTAAACACAATTGTGTGTGTTTCTTTGACTGATAAAACAAAAGTGACTCTGGGAGCACAATATCACTGAATTTATGTATACATACATCATCTAGTGAAGACACAAATGTAGAAAATTCCTCTTGTCCATCCATTTCTCCATCAATCATTTTTTTTCTCAGCTGAAAAAAAGATATTTAAACAGCACTTTATACATGTAATCGTCATCTGCCAAACTAAATGTACTTTTCAAACCCTATGCAAACCATATGTATGTGACATTCATGTGTACTTGAATCAGATCATTACTGGTATACATATTTATAATAACCAATTATTAAAAGTATACATGTACATAGTCTCAAGCTCACAAATATTCTATTCCATACCTGTTTTTTCTTGTCATTTTCAATTTCAATATCCAGAAAATCCAGGTTGGGGGTGTCTTCTATTTCATCCTGTTGTAAATAATAATAGAATTATTCTATACTTCATTACATCATTATTTAAAATAATTATTTAAAAATTCAGACACTGAATTAGATGTCAGACTTACACTTATCTTCAGACGAGGATGAAATATGATATAGCCATTAGTGTTAATGGCAAAAGTATAACCACCAGGTCCGAGCTAAAATGACGAAAGACAACTTCAGTAAAAAAAAACAAACATTTTTACTCTTAGTTCTTCAAACTATGGCCTAAGTAATCTGTATGTAAATATTAACTCAATCATATAAAAACTTTAAACTTTACTTTTATATTAATAATATCAATTGTAGACATATTTGTTCTCTAATGAAGATTAATTTACACTATAATATGTGCAGTCACTATTTCCGCCCTGATATACAAGGGTACTATCATGACATGCTTTAAATGCATTGAGGACATTAATTGATAATCTAAGAAATCTGTGTCATTTTCTACCCAGGGATTTGAGAGAAATTTTAATTTGGCAGAATTCTGACCCCGTGGAAAAAAGTATGTGTACAGTATATTGTGACTGATTTTCTGACCTGCCATGTTGGACTGTAGCGCTGCATCTGTTCTGTTGTAACATCAATACCCATCACTCCAAGAATTGTCTGGTTTGACTACAAATATAATTTAACTCTTATTAAGATGCAACTGTTAGCTACAAATAAAAAAAAAGTTCAGGAACATAATGATTGCACTTACCCCTGAAGGTGCCTTGTTGTACACTGGCAGAGTGACTGTCACCACCATACCCAGACCCTGTGTGACACAGAGCAGTGTGTAAGTCAACAGTTCTAACACAGGTCTGTGTTTTAACAAATTACATCCATCATTAACTTTCATTTACTTTGATTTATAATTCTCATACATTAAAAGAAAATATTTGATCATGAATCATTTATAGGACAAGTTGTTTTTTATAATATCAATACTGTACTGTACGAGAAGTCAAGTTAGATATATCACAACTTAGTGTTTGGTTAGAAAGGTAAATGATTAGTAACAGCAAAATCCATAAATAAATATCAAGCATGCAATCCTTTTTAAAAAATAAAACCACATTCTTAAACATGCAATACATACAAATAAATGATGATCAATGGTGCACATAAGCTATTAGATTAACTGCAAATGGGTTCCTTATATGATACAAACTGTTCTATAATTTTATTTTTAATCATTGCTTTCCAGCCCCCGATTCAATACAAAGTGATTCTGATGGATGTTAAATTACCCTCTTCCAAACATTAGCAAAATATATTCTGAAGAACTTACATCTAGATTTGACAGTGTATTTTTTAAAATTTTATAATTCTATTTTGTCTTTATTTTCCTTAGAGAAGAGATGGGAATGTATTCTATGTAAGAACATAGGGTACACATACCTAAATTCAAACACATTTGACATAACAATAAAATTTTCAAGCTTTCTTGATTTTACTTTTACATGGACCTGATTACGAATTTGTACTCTGATGAACACACAGCACTATTGACATTCTATTCTACTTCACATCCTGGGGGCGATGGGTTGATAAACAACCACAGTACAACTCGGAGATCAAGTACCCTACATCTAGTGGGGGTCCTACCGACTGGTCACGGACAACATGCCACAAACAACACAGAGGAGGAGAGCTGATAAGCTACACGTCGTATACCAAACTATCATTGTAGATATTGCCCCACTTCAACTCTTTTATATCTTGAAGGGCAGCTGGCCGACTTAACACTGGTACATACTCCTTCAATGGGATAAAATAGGACAAAATCAGGTGAATTTCTGTCAAATTTCTGTCAATAATGATTTAGTAAAACTGGCAGAAACAGAAATGTAAGACTTCCCTGTCCAACACACTTGTTTAAAACAGCAGGGCATGTAAATTATTAAGATTTTCCTACAACACTTTAAGGTCTTGACTGTTCAATTTTATATACATGATTGTATATATTAAATACATGTAGACAGAGAAGCTACAGATCTGTGAGTTATAAGTCTGCTTTAAGGTGTCAAGAACATATGAGGACACACACGTGAACCAGGAGTGATCACCTCTCATTCTGGTCAGATGATAAACCGCAGAGTTAACCTGGCTCTAACAGGCGGCAGGCATAATGCTGTAACAGATTCAGATTAAAAAAAGAAAGTCGAAACAAACAATCATTCCTCAACATGTGTCTTTTGCCAGGTGAAGCTTCAGTTATACAGTTAATAGTGACCAAGACCTGAAATAGTTCTGATGCTTTTGCATGCTTTGTTGTTATAAATTAAAGATTTACCAACTTAAAAACATTATGTTAGCAAAGAATTCATAAATACAGAATTCTGGCATGTAAATGAATTAGGGATTGAGACATTCATTGGCCGATTGAATTATTTCTGAAGTCAGGCTTGTTAATAACAGGGATATCTTATAAGTGTGATAGTACTATTGGAACATGAACAAGTCACATCCTGTTTGTGTTATAATACATAGCATGTCGCAACCACAATAATATCAGGGCCTGTCAAGTGTTAATCAATGGAGGGGCTACCAATTGAAGCACAATACTGTCACGTGTGTATGGGGTTCATTCAACAGCATTACCCTGGGGTCACGCTTGATCCGTCGCTGGAGAAAATCATCTCCACTCGTTATTTCCCTGCGATCAGTGACTAAATGGGACAAGTAGTCCTGGAAAAGTTCAACAGAAACTCAATAAGGACAATGCTGATATATACTATGTGAAGGAATGTTGAACATGCAAACAGCTTGTTTTACAAAATGCACTAATTTTTGCCATGGAGAAGTGCTGCAAACAGATTCTCTTTCTTAAGGTCAACATAAAATTATGACTCCCACACTATTTGTTGGTCCAGATTATTCTAGTTTTAGGATTATTATAATTTTATTGATGATTACATATTCAGGTTGCTGCTTTCTTCAAAATGAATCAGTTTCCTGCATTATAATGATCCACAGAATTCAATGAATATAATAAAATGTTAATATATGTTTAAACTGTCACTGTTTATAATTGATAGTGACCTGTCCTGTGCTGAGTTACCCCACACCCGTGTGTTAGTCTACATGCTCCTCCCTCTTATTGCTTTTGCAGAACACGTCAATTTTATTTTGGCAAACTCCTTGTCTATTCATCCATCATTAAATTGGTGTTCTTAATAATGAGAAGCAATAAGACAGAGAGCCTGTTAATCTAGCCCGCATCTAGCCCATACTACGTAGAATACCAATCTATCTCGGTATACACTGGTCCATAGGGGCAGCTCCGTGTGATAGGAGCCAGATAATACTGTCACGTACTCCTGAAATAGACAGTACGCCGTCACACAATACAGTATACATGACATATAAACTATCCTCTTGTAGTCCAAGAAAAAAAACCCTTATACAATGGTCACAACTCCTGAAAACAGTGCACATATTTTTATGATTGCAAAAATAAATAATACATCCCTGAAAAAAAACCATATGCACAGATTTACACAGTCACTAACACACTGGAAAAAGAATCAAAAAGTAACAATAAAAGTTATCGTGAAGATTATATTTAGAAGAGAATAAAAAGAAACAGTCCAGATTGCTTCAAAATTGTTTAGGTTAATTTGATAAAAGGAAATGCTTATCACTAAATTTCAAAATCTGTGAAGGTTTTTTGTTTCATATGAAATCCATATCCCATAAGATTCACAAGATGTAAATGAAAAAAGGAATTATACATTAGACAGTATTTCTGTTCATCATTAGACTAGATAGCATGTTTCAATTTCAAATTTCAGTTCCAGTATTATAATGTATAATTATAGTGATTACAAAAGTTCAGCTCTACCATAACATGCTTTCCAAATCTTTAGCAGGTCAAAAATAAAAATAATTTCATTTTAGCATAATGATTTCATAATTATATACAAATCAATGAAATCTAAGCAATACCTATTTTTATTTCTGAGCTCACCAATGCTAAGACTTACACTTTCATTTATGAATCATTCATTTATTTACTCCAGTATTCTTGATTGATTGGAAAAGTAATATTATGTTTTTTGATCCTCTCTCTCAACTACATTTTTTAATTCCCCAAAACTTCATTTTTATGCAATTATCAAAACCATCTTTTCATGAAAATTTCTTTAAGTCTAATTTACATAAAAAAATCAATTACTCAGACATGCCCACATAAAAATTCTACGACATATTTCTTCAATATTGGGAATATTTCATTTAAAAGAAATGATTTTCGTGTACCAATGAAAACATTTAGCATTCATAGAGAGCAGAAAGAAAAAACACAGCAAAAAAAAAAAATCCACTTCTCAAGAAAAAAAATAAAGAAATAAAGAAAACCACATTCAAAATGTTTGAAGTATATACATGACATCTTTTGCTTGATAACAAGACTGAATGTTGTAAAGCAGTGCTTTATATGAGAAAGAAATTGCAAAAAGGCCCTTGATATATATAAATATCATTCGCTAGTCTACATGTATCTTTGCTCTTCTAAGTGGACAGAAATAGTGCTCTAGCTAGGGGGGTCACTTAATGAAATAAAATATCTGTTTCATATTTGTCCTGATGTCAAATCTTTTATGCATTTTGAATTGCAACTAAAGTAAAAGACAATAATTAAAATAAATATTTTGGACAGGAAACAAATATTTTGTGTGACCCTCCCTGACCTTAATAAGGCTGAGATACCAAAGAAGGACCATGGGCTCCTTTGTAGCTACTGGTCCATTTGACAAAGTCGGTGTGTTTCAAGGCAAGAGGTCGTGCGACCACTTCCACGTATTCCTAGTGACCAGCGACAGGGAAGATAAAGATCATATTAGTCCCTCAAACCGTGCACAGTCCTAACATAACGCATTGTATTCACAGTGCATGACAGAAAAACAACTCTCTCTCTCTCTTAATGTTCTTCTTTCATACTTTACTGAAACAAAATCTAACCAGTTAAATTCATACTTAGAGTAAACTCTAAAATAAAATTATACAAACTTACCATATGATGAAATGTCAGTTTTACAAGACTATGTTTATGTTCATTTAGAAAATCATAAACTGGGATAAACTACCCTAAGATGATTATTTGAAAAAAAAATTGTGTCAGTTCTTACTTACTTTGGTGAATGGCACAATAATTATGGTAATAAAGATTGTGAAAAATATTACTTTTTTTTTTTTTACATTTATTTTAACAACTGGTATACTGTTCTAAATTTACTAAATCCATTTTCTTTCATAAACTTTATCTTCATTCAGTAGCAATATAAGACTTTTTTACCTGAACTCTGGCTCTAATGGCCCCCATGGCTGGAATCTCAGAGAATCGACCTGAAATTGAAGAATTATGAACTCATTCTTTCCAATTCGTAACATACGCCTCTAGTTAATTGTCACTAATGCCTGTAAAAGTATGTGTATAGATAATTCTAAAGGCAACATGCTGTGAGACATTTTAACTTGAATACAAGACCTCTGTTGGCACAAGCCATCCATGCGATGTCCTTTGTAGGGTTGGGATTCTGACCGACAGCATAGGTAAACACTCGCACCCTGTCCTACAAGTACAACAATAATCTTACAACTCACACCAAACAGATTTCAGAGTCTTGACAAGTCAAATATATAATTATTGAAATTTTTTTTCTTCAATATCCATTGTGAACTCTGGTTTTCTTATGCTTTTTAAATATTCTTTATCTAGTAGGTAAAACTTTCTGCACAAAAAGTCGAAAACTAACAGATTACGTAAATGTTATGGAGAAGTTTTCACTGTACCCTCCATGTGTACCCCCTCCGTGCATTTTGGGGGTCCGTGCTTACCTGTAGAGGTCGGTTAAAGTTGCGTCGGTTAAACACTTCGTCCCCATTGTCTGTGCCTCCGTCTGTCAGAAGCATGATCATTTTGTTACAGTGGGCTGCCTCTGAAGAATTCTCAAACTGGAAATAAAATCTTTTTTGAAGTTTTGGAATAGAAAAGGTTTAGAAAGCCTTATTCCTTCAAAATACATGTGAAATTCATCCCATATTATAAAAACATTTCATCACCTTTGGAAACATCAAGGATGAGATAAATTTCCATTTTGCGACATAATATGCAAGAGGACATTTCAGTGACTTTATGGTTAACATATCATTAAACTTTAGTCTTGGAATGAAAAAAAATTAATTAACTTGGTACGGTGTTTTTTTTTTGTATATTTTTTTGATAAGCCCTTTTTTAATAATTCACTTTAAAAGCCCTTTAAATTACCTTATCAAACTGGTCGAATGCATACTCTAAGCCTTTGGAAATGTTAGCCATGTTTTCTGCTGACAGATTTCCCACCACACGAGACAAATACTGTTAAAATAAAAATAAGTCAACTTCAACTAAGTATTTCCTATCTATTACATGTAGTACTGAACTGACATTTCTCCTTCTTTAAAACTGAAAATTCACCCCAAAGTCTCAGGCCAGACAGTTTTATCAATTAAAACAGGTAGATACTGTAAACCCCCTATTCCTAGAGAAAAACGTTTCTGTTATTCATGTAAATTGTTTGTTGAAGGCGAAAAACATTTTGTTCTTTACTGTCCAAAGTATGATCAATATAGATGCAATTATAATGATAGATTTAATGTAAACACATATACTAGTGATGACCCCATTAGAAAAATTGTCAATCCTACAAATATTTCAAGTGCTAGAAGGATATGTTGTTTCTTGAAAAAGTGCTTTGACATCAGAAAAGAAAGTCAAAAATGAATATTAATATCGAGAAATACATAATTTTGTTCACCTCATATTTCTCACTTTGTATATACTTGTATTAATTGTGTTAATTTATGTTATGTTATTAATATTCATGACTGTATGCCGACATGGTAATTGTCAATAAAGTGAAGTGAATTGAATTAAAACAATTAATCACTTCTAAATTAATTTCCAATCATAAACGTGTCCTATCAATCTCATCAATCAGAAAATCTAGGTTCTTCAAACATGTCATCATATCTGTACTCTGGTATTTGATTGTGATTGAGGTCAGCTAGAGCACTGCCACAGTCAGCTGTGTTATTATCTGACAGTCAGCTGTGTATTATCTGACAGTCAGCTGTGTTATTGTCTGACAGTCAGCTGTGTTATTATCTGACAGTCAGCTGTGTATTATCTGACAGTCAGCTGTGTTATTGTCTGACAGTCAGCTGTGTTATTATCTGACAGTCAGCTGTGTTATTATCTGACAGTCAGCTGTGTTATTGTCTGACAGTCAGCTGTGTTATTATCTGACAGTCAGCTGTGTTATTATCTGACAGTCAGCTGTGTTATTGTCTGACAGTCAGCTGTGTTATTATCTGACAGTCAGCTGTGTTATTATCTGACAGTCAGCTGTGTTATTATCTGACAGTCAGCTGTGTTATTATCTGACAGTCAGCTGTGTTATTATCTGACAGTCAGCTGTGTTATTGTCTGACAGTCAGCTGTGTTATTGTCTGACAGTCAGCTGTGTTATTGTCTGACAGTCAGCTGTGTATTATCTGACAGTCAGCTGTGTTATTGTCTGACAGTCAGCTGTGTTATTATCTGACAGTCAGCTGTGTATTATCTGACAGTCAGCTGTGTATTGTCTGACAGTCAATTGTGTTATTATCTGACAGTCAGCTGTGTTATTGTCTGACAGTCAGCTGTATTAATGTCTGACAGTCAGCTGTGTATTATCTGACAGTCAGCTGTGTTATTGTCTGACAGTCAGCTGTGTATTGTCTGACAGTCAGCTGTGTTATTATCTGACAGTCAGCTGTGTATTATCTGACAGTCAGCTGTGTTATTATCTGACAGTCAGCTGTGTTATTATCTGACAGACAGTCAGCTGTGTTATTATCTGACAGTCAGCTGTGTTATTATCTGACAGTCAGCTGTGTTATTGTCTGACAGTCAGCTGTGTTATTATCTGACAGTCAGCTGTGTTATTGTCTGACAGTCAGCTGTGTATTATCTGACAGTCAGCTGTCTTATTGTCTGACAGTCAGCTGTGTTATTATCTGACAGTCAGCTGTGTTATTATCTGACAGTCAGCTGTGTTATTATCTGACAGTCATCTGTGTATTATCTGACAGTCAGCTGTGTTATTATCTGACAGTCAGCTGTGTATTATCTGACAGTCAGCTGTGTTATTATCTGACAGTCAGCTGTGTTATTATCTGACAGTCAGCTGTGTTATTATCTGACAGTCAGCTGTGTTATTGTCTGACAGTCAGCTGTGTTATTATCTGACAGTCAGCTGTGTTATTATCTGACAGTCAGCTGTGTTATTGTCTGACAGTCAGCTGTGTATTATCTGACAGTCAGCTGTGTTATTATCTGACAAACCTTCTTGTTTCTGTAGTTAGCCTGAACAAATCCCTTCATACAACCCACTGTCTCCGCTTTGTCTGCAAACTATAAACAGTACGGATTTAGTTCTACATCTTTTTCATATTTCGTCATCATTTAAATATATGTTGTTTCAATGGGCACAAAATAATTTTTTCGGAAAAAACTACCATCATTGCTTAATTTTTTTTTTCATTATTAATGGATAATCATCCATCTTCTAAAACTGGCATTTTAACATTAAATTGCAAAGTAAAAAGTACTGCAATATCATGAACATCTTTTGAAAATACATGTATGGATAATAAGACAAATAGGAAGTACAAAGATTTGGGTGTACCTTGACAATTTGTACAAAGTCGTTTTCTCCTAATGTGTCCAGGATTGACTTGACAGCGACGATCATCAGCTGTAGAGACTGCCCCACCACACTGCCACTCCTAAAACAAATCAGTCAGTACAATATATACAAACACTATAAATCATTACTAGTCAAAACATCTGTAGGAGCTAAGCTACCACACAGCCATTCCTAAAACCAGATCAATAAGTACTGGTACAATTCTTAACTGAGTCACTTTGGCCCTGCTGTTCTTTAGAAGAATACTTCTAAGTTTCATCCATACCAAATTCTCATTAAAAACTTTAACCCTATATAGCAGCTCTTACCCTAGCTCCAAGGAGTCAAGAACAGGAAAGCTTAATTCCAGCCTTCAGCACAGGTAAGCTAAAAATCACAGAATAACGGAGCCTAACAGTAAAATTTTAACTGTTACTAGTAAAGTCTTACGTATCAATGAGGATCAACATGTCTTTTGGAGAACTGGATCCTTGTGTGTACCTAAAAAACAGAACATATCACTGTTAAAATTCTCTAATGTATACACAAGATACTGTGTACATTTTTCCATTACTGACAAATATTTAATACAAACCATGGTCTGCGTCTGACATCATACAAATCTACATCATCTGTCATCTTCCACAAACTCGCTGTAATAAAGTAATACAATATTTACAAAAAAAATCACCACAGATCTACATTTCAGACATGATAATGTACTTCTCTGTCTTGAAATTTGAAGAGAAAATTAAGGTATTTATATAATCAAGCTTGATGATGGGCAAAGATGTTGATGTAATTATCATATACCTGGTATTATGTTGTTTAACAATGTTACAGTACTAATTCTGGTGTTTTATAAATAATGTTAATACCAATCTATTGACTGGATTCACTTACCAGGGAAGGACCTCATGAATCCCGTCTGGCTGCCAAAATACTGCCATAAGATCTCCTTGTCATTGTCATAGTTCTCCCTGAACACCTTGTCCAGGGCGTGGGACCACTTCAAAGCATTGAGGATATCAGGATCTAAACCAAAAATCAGACTTCAACAACATTTTAAAGTGCCTTTGTACAATGTTGTAAATGTAGCCTTCTCTGTGTCAAAAAGAGTTTGGATATAAAGAAAACACATCCTCTTATCATAAATAATCTTTGAATGAAATATGGATATCCAATAATTCTCCATTACAAAATTTTGAATATCATGGCATGAATAGTACTTTTTCACCTAGAGATTTTAACAATAATATTGGGTCAAGGTTATGAGTCTTATGACATACTTTTGGCTAAATTATAAGCTTTTTTCTGAAACATATTATGAACTTCCAACAAAATGTTGTTGTTTTTTTTCAAAAATACTTTTCTGAACAGGAGCATTTATTTATTTGTTAATATCTGACCTTTCTCGTAAATTTCCACAGGAATATGAACTGAGGAGACGGAGGTGTTAACGGGCTGTTTGAACTTCTCATTGCTGGCCAGAATACTGGAAAAGTTGTTGTAAGTAGGGTCCTTGGATTTGTAATAATTCACCAAATTCTGTAAGTAAACTCTTCTCTTCAATTCTTGTTATGTAGAAGTATATTAAAAAAACACTCTAAGAACACAGAAATGATAATTGTGCTATGACTAGTATTGTTTAAAAAAAAAATGATCTTAAATAAATTCAATAAAGATCACAAGTTAGAATGATTATATTTTGAGTTCCTATCTAATCAATTAACAATGGAAACAAGCAATATCAATTTGTATCAAACCCATTCCTTTCTTCCTATATCTGTCAGTTAAAAGGCAAGTCATACTTACTTTTTTATCCAGCCAATAATCCACCCACCCACTAAGCTAACACATAACATGTTAACTTTATTTGTAGTGTAAGGAATGAGAGAAGTGACTCACGGATTCTTGGAGAGTCTCACTGTAGTTATGCTTGGCTGCCGCTGACTCTGCTACCTCTACTGCTTTCTACAACAAACCAATCAACTCAAACACTCAACTCAATAAACCTATCAACTCAAACAACAATCAATCAACTCAACAAACCAATCAACTCAAACAATCAATCAACTCCATAAACCAATCAACTCAAACAATCAATCAACTTAGATCAGTAGCTACTGCTCTCTACAAAAAAACTATCAACTCAAAACAATCATCTCAATGTACAAGCCTTCAACAAAGCAATCAACTCAATAAATCAATCAATTCTATGAATTAGCAATAAACTCAATCAATCAACTCAATAAATCAATCAATTCTATGAATAATTAGCAATCAACTCAATAAATCAATCAATTCTATGAATAATTAGCAATCAACTCAATAAATTAATCAATTCTATGAATTAGCAATCAACTCAATCAATCAACTCAATAAATCAATCAATTCTATGAATTAGCAATCAACTCAATCAATCAACTCAATAAATTCTAAGAATCAGCAATCAACTCAATCAATCAATCAACTCTATGAATCAGCAATCAACTCAAACAATCAATCAACTCAATTACATTAACAATCAACTCAATGAATCAGAAATTAGCTCCATACATCCTTGTATTGTAAGCTCTCTACAACAAAGCAATCAACTAAATCAATATTAAATACTACACAGGTGAGATCTGTACAATAAAATACTCTAAACCATGTAGTCAGAGGCATATAGAGACTCTAGAAAGGAGGCAAGCAAAGAGGAGCATAGCAGGCAAGGATAAATTTCTCTTCAATGAAGTGTTAACCTTTAAACTTAACAATAGTACATGGGAAAAGATTATTTAGAAAATAAATAATCAAGACAATAGAACCTTCTCTGTTATTTTTTTTTTCCATTTACTTTAAAATGAAATTTTCAAGGACACATAATCCTGTTTTCAGAAGAAATAATGTGAAGAGAGCTTTATTTCACACCCTCTATTAATCTTCTTAGTGGACAGTAAATGAGAAGACTACCTTGAGGGCCTCTGTCTTATTCCCCAGCATCTGAGCCACCTGGTCGGCCATCTTCTGTATCAGGGTCTTGCCATCTATCTCCTCTACTGCTGTTGTCTGGTTGTCAAACTTTTTTCTCTGTAAAAAAAAACATAAGTATTTTTGTGTGTCACAGATAGACTTTATGTAATATGCACAGTTACCATAAATATTTCTCTTGATCCTCAACTTACATTAAAAGAACCATAAAGACAGGTATATTTTGCTGATGTAATGTTTATCAAGATTTTTTGTAAATGACAGTTTACTAACCACAAGGCTCTAAACTCCACTTTTGATCTAACATTATTATCATTCTGTGAATCACTAGCTCTTCTTTATTTTGTTGTCTTTTAAATATTATAAAAAAGGAATGTAGTTCATTGATGTTGTGTGTAAAAAGCTGAAAATTGTATTTATTTTTTTTTTTAAATTGATTGTAATGCCTCTAGACTACAATCATGTATCTTTAGGGATAATTATAAAGTGGAGAACTCTCTCTGTTACTAAACTTCTAAAGTCAACTCCCACCAACATTCACAAACATTCATATCTATATAATATACTCTTCAAAAAACGAAAACCATAGTAGGAACAATGCCCTGAAAAATGTATGATAGTTTTGTCATACCTTTTATTTTTATATGGATATGATGTATTCAAGTGAAATGCATGATTTTTTAATGCAATTGTTAACTTTAAAGCTATTCTACAAGTCTCACAGACAAAAAGACCCGATTTTGCGAAAATTTCCCCCAAATTTTGATCTCAATATTCATTTGTTGAATTCTGATGCAATTCCTTCAGGTACAAAGGGGCTATCAAAAGCGGGGGTTCTCGATATTTTGAATCTGGTTTTATCTGAAAAATGACGCTTCCTAAAAATGCTGCATCTGAATGTTTCTGTTGTTTCATAGCACAAAAAGGAAAATGGGTGACTGGAAGCAGGGGTTCCACAATTTACAATTGCAAGAGGTTTTAATGTTACGAACAGCGCCATATCTAACCTAGAAAACATAAACCATTAGCATCAAACACCCAATTTTTGCAAAAAATACGGTAGACTATGTGTGACATCAGCAGCACAGCATCACTTCAGAGGATTACGTAAATTGCATAAATGTAACGCAATGACGTCATCTAAAGCATTAGCTATCCCTGAACTGCACAGATCATCTAACCAGACCATTTTCAGTTGACTACGAATTATTGCAAGAGGATTATCCATGCCCTTGTACCGACCCCACAACACCCCAAATATCAACTTCAAAGATCTCAGATCAATAGAGTACGATCACAGCATCACTGCTGAACATTTTGGTTTAGCTGCTAGTCCAGAATGTTTATCTGAAAGCCTCTTATAAGTTTAAGAGTGCTGATGCTTTGTAATGAATGTTAGACAGATAACTGCCTCCAGGACATTAAAAAAGTTGGTGGTGGTAGTGTAATGAAATGGAAAACAGTATTATAAGAAAGTAAGATTGATTTGGTTTGAATTCAATGGACTTTAATGGATAAAGGTACTCTAACCATGTTCTAACTACACATACCCATTCAATTTTGCAGCATCCTAGAGCCGTATTGCAATCTCACAATACACAGCCACATATGGCTCGTTTGACACTCCCATTCTTGCAAAGCAACAGCAACTTGTTTCTGTCACAGTCATCTAAATCGCTAGATTTAATCCAAATTAAGCAGCATTGGACAAAATGGATTGACATGATTTCCGATAGGCAATCACATCCCCAGACTCTACAACAGCTGACCAAAGTTCTACATTTGAAGTGGGAGAATATTCCTATACAGTTTTTATTACACACATTTGCTTCCATTAGATGCCATTTGTTGCTATCATTTGTGTCTGCATGATTTGTACAGGCAATTATCAATGAGCTCTCACAAAGAATGGGTCTTGCCTTTCACTTGAACAACTGATTTCCCTTTACCAAAGGGTGCTTTGTGGGAAATGTAGTTTTTTCCAGTGGTTCTGGAGAAGAAGTAAAAAATCTTAAAAGTTCACAGGCAAACACTAGAAAGATGTACGCCAGTCAAATTGTGATCAGAAAAGCCAAGGTGAGCTAATAATTTATAATTAAATGGAATGAAAAAGCTTGACAATAAAGATTGATTTATTGATTTTTATACAACTGTTACCTACACCTGAAATAATAGTGTTTGTTTACAGCTACGGATGAACCTGGTCCCATCTGTTCTGTTCTTGTCTAAACCCAACAAACCTTAAAAGAATCTATTTTTTAAGTTTTTATTCATGGTTGTGTATTTCTAACTTTTTTTTTCTAACATAACCATTTTGTTCCTCCAAATGTTCAGTCTCTTGATCATGTTGGATAAGAATTGTGCAAAAGAAAACTATCATTAAACATTTGCTCTGAAAATGAAGTCCCTGGAAATTAGAAGAATTGCAATCAGGCATTTATGAAAAAAATTAGTCTGGTACTATTTCATTACTTCTCTGCATACTCTAGGGTACAAACTTACAATTGTTGAAACCTGAAGTTCCTTGTCAAAGTTTTCAATGTTCCTGCTCAGACTTTCCACCCAGCTCTTCACACTACAATAAAAGATAAGAAAGTTCATGAAATGGTAATTTCATCATCTAATATGCTTAGGTTTTAATATTACATGTTTCAGTCCTGACAATAATACTATTACCTGTATTCATTTATATACTGCCACAGTGTTTTCAATAAGAGCCGGCAACCGGCAAAATTAACCGCCTGTACGCGAAATTTTGCCGGCTATGAAATTTCCGTCATTAGGATTTTGCCGGGGCTGATACGTGAAATCCATAGATTTTATCGCAACTATTTCCATGATCTAGAGTACCTTCCCTTGAGTGCGCTCTTTTTTCAAGGAAGTTTGATTAGATCCATAGTGTCATCTAATGGCGTCGCAGACAACGAATATTTGAGCGAAGTCGTGGAGAAACAACACATGCACTTGAGATGACATATATGTACATTAAGAGACATAAAGCGTGGTTACTTCCGAAAAGATTTGTTTGTGTTTAATAATTTTCGATTTAAAATCGATTGTGCGACAGCCTCAATAAGTGAGGGGTTCCCCGTAAACGACAGCAAATCATTTGCTAGATATAGACATTTGCCAAATGTCTATATCTAGACCAATATAATTTTAAGACCTTACTAATAAATGTATGAATTCTTACAGAATTTCCTCAAAATGAAAATATCAAATGTTTAGCTAAGACGTGACTAAGACCTAGAAATTCTTAAAGAATTTCCTCAAACTGAAAATACAAAAATTTATTCTCATTTATTCGTGTAAGATCTCTTGAAATACAGAGACAACATCGTTTTCACATTTGGGGAGGTTTTAATGTACTAGAATTTTGTATCAAATTCCATTTTCTTAATTTTTTTTCTGCTAATCTGTACAAAATGTCAAAACAAAAAATAAATCAGTTTAAAGATTATTTTATGAAAAGTCTAAGATTGCAGAAAATTTCAATATTTAGGGGGTACTGTACATCACCAAGTGTTTAAAAAATCTTAAATTTTTAACTGAATATTTTTTTGAAATATGAATTAAAGTCCTGACCAATGTATGTGAAAGGGAATAAATATGTAGAATTTTCAGTGTAACATTTTACCCATCTATACTATAATTTCATACTTAAGATGTCTATATGTTTTTATAGACAAGTAATTTAAAAAAAACCAATTCAATCTGTCATAAATCTGTCAAACAAATATGTGAAAAGGTAAAAAGTATTTTCTAATTGACTTTTTCTAGGTAAAATTTGCTAATTGATAGTAACAGGAAAGTACTTTTTTAGTGGCCTGAGAGGTAAGAAAAGTGAGTCAAAAATGCTGAATTTCGTTTTTGGCCAGGGGGCTTTGCCCCCCTGGGCCCCCTACCAGGGCTCTGCCCTGGACCCGCTGGGGGCCTAAGGCGGCCCCCAGACCCCTCGCCGAAACTAGTTTCCTGCTATTCCATCCATTTTTCCTTCTATTCAAAATCTTATTGAAAACACTGACTGCATATTCCTAAATAAGTATCACTAGACACTTGCTACGTGAAATATATAGCTTTCACTATATTGCTAAAATAAACATGTGAAACCAATAATCCTGTAGCAAATTCAAATTCTTGATATCTAATTATCATGATATATTTATCATATACAAAAACTGAAAATTCAGTCTCGGTTATAAATACTAAAAAAACATCTTTGCAAAATAAGGTGTCATGAAAATATAGTGATCTACAGTAATCTTCCTTAAAAATATGCTGTACAAGCTAGGTCATTTCAAATTACATCTTTTCTGTACATTGCCATTTATTCTCTTTTAAACCAAAGGGTAGATCACATAAATTGCATAATACTACCAGTACCATGCAATTTTAACTCTTCAGTGAGCAATGTGTAGATTTCCTAAAGTTCAACATCTTTCATTTTAAAAAAACATGTCCCTGCATTTATGACTTAGCGTGAGTATGAGTGTGTGGGGAACAAGAGGCCCATGGGCCACATCGCTCACCTGAGCACCAAGGGTAGGACTAGTATAAAATGGCTTTTTATTGTAAAGTTTAAATCCAAAAGTAGTCCCATGACCAATCATGGATTTGCTATTTTTTAGAAAATGATTGAGAAGAAGATTTTTAAAGAATTTTCCTATATATTTCTATGTAAAACTTTGGTCGGCCATTTTGGCCTCGCCCTACCCCCGGGGGTCATGATTTGAACAAAATTGAATCTACACTACCTGAACATGCTTCCATATATATATGATGAATTATGGCTTTGTCATTCTTGAGAAGAAGATTTTTAAAGAATTTTCCTATATATTTCTATGTAAAACTTTGGTCGGCCATTTTGGCCCCGCCCTACCCCCGGGGGTCATGATTTGAACAAACTTGATGGTTCTTGAGAAGAAGATTTTTAAAATATACCACTAAATTTTCATTAATTCCCAATTATCTCCCCTTGAATAAGGGCGTGGCCCTTCATTTGAACAAACTTGAATCCCCTTCACCCAAGGATACTTTGTGGCAAGTTTGGTTGAAATTGGCCCAGCGGTTCTTGAGAAGAAGTCGAAAATGTGAAAAGTTTACAGACAGACGGACAGACAGACAGACGGACGCCGGACAAAATGTGATCAGAAAAGCTCACTTGAGCCTTCGGCTCAGGTGAGCTAATAAAACTAGGAGGGGGGCATTTTGATATGTAATACATGTTACCAAATAAGAAATTTACTTTTCTTGAGTTAATTAAGTCACATATTCTAAAAGATCAAAGTACTGTGAGTACTGAAAGACGGTGGCATGAATGATTTTGTTTGTTTAACAGCCCTTTCGAGGATAAAATTTTTAGCAGCAAAGGATATTTTTCTGGCTAGCAATTACTGCGACACGGCATCTCAATCTGAATTAAGGGCCGATATCCATGTCACGCAGTGGGAGTCGAATCCGCGACGCCGGTAAGGATGGACTTCTTCAGGTCCGCGAGTCCAAAGCAAACCCGCTACGTCAAATGGCGACTGGCATTTTATAAGAAAAATGTTTTAAGATTTTGTAAAATGATATGGAAATTATAAAAGTTTATTTCAATTTTTCACAATACATGTATATCTACCTGTATTTTAATATATAAATTTATATTTTTTGTACTAAAAAGTATAAAGTGTTATGAATTGTCACTGTTTTCTAAAATTGTTACTATCCTATTACAATTTTCATTAAAAAAACATAGCAAACTTCAAATAGGTATATGCATAAATAAACAGTTGCAAATTATCAGATTTCATTTAATGCGTTTTGTCGCCTTACGACACACGGATGATAATGATGTCAAAATGTCTAAAGCAGCGTCTCGTTTCCTCTTTGCTTAAAACAAGTTGGATAATTCCAATTTAGATTAAGGAATTTCATTGATGCACGTAGTTGAGTTTTCCTTAATTCTTCAAATAACAGCCAGAAACCAATCTCGCGCACAAATTGGACCTTGTGAAGAATTATTAGTACTAAAGTTATGGACAATATTTTTACTATCATTCAACTAAAGAATCTTATATACTTTTAGTATATTGGCTGTCAACATTGACAGCACCTTCCGCTATTCCTGTAGCTGTTTGTTCTACCTTTCGATTTGAAAACTCCCATTTCTCTAGTACACTAAAGAGGAAAAAACTGAACTGCTTTCCAGTGCGTAGTATCGTCATCGAACGCCGCCGTTTTTCGTGTGTTGGATTTACCACTTTCCCCATTTCGGATGTTTGATAAATTGATAAAATAATTAAGCAAATGTCCTTAAATTTTCCAAAAGACGACACAATATATAGTGAATAAAAAATAGGATAATGTTTTCCAAATTACTATTTAATACTTTTATTTCGAAACAATACTCATGTATTATTTGTAAAACCGTTTTTTTTTTTTGTGCGTAAGTACATTGAAGCATGTTAATGAAGTATTAATTTTTTGTCTATATTTTATCAAAAGAATTCAGATACACTAAAATATGATAAATAAATACTTGCGAAAAATTTCATCTTGCAGCGCCTACTATTTTTCGAGAAAAACGCTTTGTACACGACAACCCTTGTATACTGCTCGAAAAAAAGATAGAAAAAAAAGAATAACAAAATATTTTTCTGTCTCTATTTTCCGTCGTCTCAAGTTACGATCGGAGTATGTATATATGCGCGTGGAGCTTTCTCCAGAATGGGATAGGATCGTACATTTTGGCTATGGTTTGCGATGATGGTATTTCTCATACGTAATATTCTAATAATTATGCAATAACCCTGCAAATCATTGCGCAATACTTATTTACTGCTTTGTGAACATACCAGAAGACTGACCTAAATTTAGCCCACTAAAATCGCATAAAATCCTAATAATTGTATTATTTCATGCACATGTATTTGAGTACCTTTTTTTGTACACCCTTTAAAGGGTAAATTTACTAGAGGCACGTAACTTAGAGTTTCTAAATAGGAATGAAATATATGGGTAAATTGTCCGTTATAGTCTTTGTAATTATAGCTTTGACAAATTTTTATCCGTTGAGTCGTTTTTGTGTCCGAGATAATCAGACAAAGTCTTATTTTTAAAAACTAGAATGATAATAAACTTAGCAAATTTTATGGCATCATATACCTCCAACAACCACTTTATTAACTGATTTTTCTTCTTTTCTAAAATACATATATTCGTTTTACGAATATAGCATTGTAAACAGATATAAGAAATTCAAACAAAAAGACAAAGTTTGTTAAATTTCAATAAACTATTTTTAAGTTTTATTGTAAAAAAAAAAGAAATTCACAAAGCAGTATTCAAGAAACAGCCGTGTGTTGTTTAGCAATAATTACTGGTATTTGATTTTGGAGTTAGATAGTGAAACAATCATACATTGAAATCTTCAAATATTTTTCAACAATTAATTGGTAATTTTAAAGAAACACAATGTGCGTACAAAACGGATTTTTCGAACATGTGAGAAAAAACGAAAAAAAAATGTACGAATTGACATCTGTAGTTTGCATACGAATATACGAGTCGGTTGGTGTACGAGTTAGTTTAGTTCGGCGTAACTCAATGAATATTCATGAGGCGAGAAATATTGATAACGGCAAATATAAGGAATTAGGCTTTGTATCCATCAACGAAATGTCTTTGAAATAACTTGAAAGTATTTGTTAACTGTGTATATTTTATTTTCAAACATCGAAATAAGTCTACTTTCATTATTTTGACTCCGCAAAAATCGCCGCAAGGGTCCCCGTGTGTTTACACAGACCAGCAGCAATAGCCTGTGGCTATATATAGCCACCGTCTAAAAATCACACTTTAAATTGATTGTCCCCTTTTATATATTGGAACATTTGGTTTGACACGAATGATGAAAAGACTATTAAGTATGATTGGTAATTATTGGGAAAATTAATCACTAAGTCCAGCTCTAGTTATGTCTTTCCTACATATAACACCACAGAGCTTGCCAGGGATTGCCTGATTCCTCCACATGTGTCAGTTATTATACACAACACATAATAAGTGGTGTCAAATAACAAGCATTCCATCTTTCCAGCTTCAGTGCTTAAAACCTATAATGCAGTCTCCATTAGTATTTTAAACATGATTTATATGTATACTATATTACTGAGCGCAGATAAAATAATCATTTGCGAAGTCAATCTCTGTTTCAGTAATTTCTAATTAGTAACCCATGGGTGCCTCTCACCCTTGTATAATGTCAAAATCAACCTGTCAGCTTCAGTACCCGAAAAAAATGTACTTCTCCTTGAAAAATGCTTACTTGAATTTAATTAGCGTTTAGAGATATAAAGCTTACTTTTCTTTATCTGGCATATTGGTTCCAGCGCTGAGTATGGGTAGTAAAAACACAAGAAGAAACATCCTTCGAATATGATAGCTTGTCGCCATGATGTCTCGTTTTGGTGTATATCAACATATAAACTAGTTCCCTGTCCAATTCGCTAGACTGTAAGGAATCTGCGAATGTACAGTAATTGCCAATAAAAAGACACGTTTTTTTCCAGCTTTAACGATATGCAATTTTTTACTTGAATATTATTATTAAAAGAAACCGGAGACTTATATGCGGTTTTATTCGATTCATTTAATTACGAATGAGTTTTGGAACGAGTTAATTAGTATGAGGACTAGTTTATTACAGTTGGAAAATGCAAAGTGAGTGTTGAGACTAACAGCTGATTTTAAAAGACTTTCCATTCTGTTTACTACCCTAAGTAGAATTTGGTCATAATACATGAATTGCTTCCTTAAAAAGGGTTCACAGTGAGCATGTAGATTCCATAACATTATGTAAATAGTTTTTGTTTTATAGAATTTCTTATATTGTAGGTTCAGATAAACCCATATTAGAAAGTTTGAATTTGTTCTACCATGAATCTGAGGTAACAAGTCGAGGGGAATCTCCAACACAAAGTTCTAAAGAGGTTCAGTGTTTGTTTTGTCCAGACAAATTCAATATCAGCAGCCAGAAAGAGGATCTTTTGAAGCATCTGGCCCTGGAACACAAGTTTGTCATAGGAGATGTCAACCTCATCACTGATCTAAAAAAGTGAGTTACATCAGGTTATACTAACAGTTAGAATAAAGTACATTTACTGCAAAATGTGATCGTATTGAGTTTTTAAACACAAATATTGAAGATCAGGTGCATATTGTTTTGTGAATGTCTTATCTACATTGTACCAGTATTTTTTTGTCTTTGGTTACAAAGAGACAGTTACTACTTCCTAGTATGGCTTAGCTGGATATAGTAATACCCTGATAATTTTCACGATATTTGGAGATGACTGCCACAGCAATAAGGACTCACTTATCCTGTTGTACAATACATTTCTTTTTGTACATACAGGTATCTCACCTACTGGAGACAGCGGTTTTTAGAAGAGGATGTTACAAATTTTTGTTCTGTTATTACTACCAGCACCAAACAAGAAAACTTAAAAGGTAAACTTTGTTCTTTGAAATCTGTTGCATACATGTAAAAGGAAAAGATAAAAAAAAACTTGACAGGAGTCAACTCTGATACTGTCAGCTATTGGAGTCGTATGTGTTGTGGTATAGTGTTCTTGTCAGGTCTTCAAAAAAAGTTATGCTTCTTGTCTTTAGATTTGACTCAGTATTTACAATTAAAGGTAAACATTTGGCAGCAAATAAAAAGTATTATCAGAGCTGTTTGATGATTGCAGTAGGAAGTGAATAAAGTGCTTGTTTAGTTTTCACAGATGAGCTAGGGTATTTACTTTTATTAAAAACTGCTGCTTGCAAAATAGAGCTGATGCCAATACATGTATTTAGCATTGACAGGACTGAGTAGTCCTTTACCAATGTTTGTTTCTTGTTATAGATTCAAATGAACAGTATTACTTGTTGTGTGATGTCCTTGCTGAAGATAAAACACTGAGAGAATTTTTACAGAAAAAGAAACTAGTAAGTTAAGAGTACTGCTAGAAATGCAATGCCATGTGAATAAAACTGATATCCACAAGAATCATGACCCAGAAAAAATCAATCTAATGTCCTCCTTTATTTTTTTAAGTTTATTTTAAAAGTGTTTTATTTATTTTACAATAGGAAAAAGTTTTAGCCCAGCAGCAAAAGGAGAGAGAAGATGAAAACTTCTGTAGAACTTGTCTATTCTGTAGAGATCATTTTACTGGAAACAGGTGAGGTATTATCTCGACAACTTCTGGAGATCGATTCTTTCTGTACTGTTACAGTAATGATCACTTTACAGGTTACAGTTGAGGTAATGTCATTTTAATATTTTTGGATACATGTCTGTATTTTCACAGTGCTGTTTTTGTTTCAGGGCTGACATGTTTGATCACATGACCCATGATCACGGATTCAGTGTTGGGCGGCCAGATAATCTGGGTATGATATTTAAAATTTTTTGCTCATTAATTATGTACATTTGTAATTGATTATTGATGCATATAACCAAAATGACTCTCAGATCCAAGACCGAATTTGGTGAAAACATTTTCAAATGGCTGGGATACTGTAGACCTGGCTACATATTCTGTTTAGCATCCTTGGCAGAAAGCAGCTTTAGCTATGAAATGAAAGAATACTGGATACATGTATTGCTAAATATCTTGCATATATAAACATAAACATAATCATGCATTCTTAAATGCAGGAGATCAAATCTATGTCATCCATCTCCATGTTGAAAAAATACTTCCTGCCATTGATCAGATACTAGATGTAATATATTTATAGCATTTATATATATATACTGCAGTTTAAATTGTGTTGATAAACTTTAAAGTTTATCTGATACTAGATGAAATATATTTGTAGCATTTATATATTCTGCTGCTGTTTAAATTGTGTTGAAAAACTTTTTAAGTTGGCCCAAAAGAGTGTTATATACATTCTACTTTGTCAAGTGTCTGTACAGGTTGGCAATAGTATATTATAAAGGTTTTTTTTAATTGTACACAGAAATTTAGACACATTTTTTAATCATTACTATTCCTTGCAGTTTACACAGATGAACTCCTTGATGACCTACAAGAAAAGTTAGACAAGTATGTTCAAACATTTTAATTTTTCTTTATATTTTAACCCAGTATAAAGATTACAAGAAACAAGAAATTTCACTCCTGACTTGAAACTTACTGGTACACAGTGACTGTAAATATTTGTTGTTGCAAATCAGACACTGTGAGACAGTGAAAGAGGAAAGCTAAATCATGAATAGTTATGTAAAGGTATTATATCAAATCTTCAGGGAATTGACATGTGACACTTTTTTTTCCCTAGTTTACAGTGTTTATACTGTGAGCGAACATTCAAAGACAAGATAGTTTTAAAGGAACACATGAGGAAAAAACAACATAAAAAAGTCAACCCCAAAAACAGAAAGTATGACAAGTTCTACATCATAAACTACCTGGTGAGTGATCTATGTTATAAGTATACTAGTAGGCTACATTATATAGTACATGTAAAATGGATATGTTCCTCTTTTTTTCATACTGCTGCTTTTCTTTCTAAAAAATTCTTTGTCCTTTAATAGTTAGCTCCTGAGAAACTGTAATTTGCCATTCTCATGTTAGTGAAATGCAAACAGGTCAGAAAGGATAATTTTGATAAGTTTAAAGCATAGTTTTTAATACACTTTAAGTGTACATAAATAAAACTTTAAAGTATATCCGAATAAAACTCACTTTACTGAATGAATGAATTCATTATAAGCATGTTTGCTGTAACCAGTGCATGATTTACTGTAGTCAAAGAGATGAAAATCAAGAAATGAGAGGTCAAAACAGAAAACTCAAGTTTAAGGTTGTCAGAAAGTGAAGACTGTAATTTGGCTTTGTTCCAGTTTTTAGCTCACCTGAGCCAAAGGCTCAAGTGAGCTTTTCTGATCAAAATTTGTCCGTTGTCTGTCGTCGTCGTTGTTGTTAACTTTTCACATTTTCGACTTCTTCTCAAGAATCACTGGGCCAATTTCAACCAAACTTGGCACAGTATCCTTAGGTTAAGGGGATTCAAGTTTCTTCAAATGAAGGGCCACACCCTTATTCAAGGGGAGATAATTCAGAAATAGTGAAAATTTGATGGTATATTTTAAAAATCTTCTTCTCAAGAACCACTGTGCCAGGAAAGATGAAACTTAAAAGGAAGCATCCTCAGGTAGTATAGATTCAATTTTTTTCAAATCATGACCCCTGGGGGTAGCCGTAGGGTGGGGCCACAATGGCCGATCTAAGTTTAACATAGAAATATATATGAAAATTCTATAAAAGTCTTCTTCTCAAGAACCACTGTGCGAGGAAAGATGAAACTTATAGGGAAGCATCCTCAGGTAGTGTAGATTCAGGTTTGTTCTAATCATGACCCCCGGGGGTAGGGCGGGGCCGCAATGGAAAGGCAGATCAAAGTTTTACAGAGAAATATAATGGAAAATTCTTTAAAAATCCTCTTCTCAAGAATAGCAAAGGCATGAATGATCATATTTATATGAAGCATCCTCAGGTAGTGTAGATTCAGGTTTGTTCAAATCATGACCCTTGGGGGTAGGGCAGGGCCACAATGGCCGATCAAAGTTTTACATAGAAATATAAAGGGAAATTCTTTAAAAATCTTCTTCTCAAGAATAGCAAAGGCATGAATGATCATATTTATATGGAAGCATCCTCAGGTAGTGTAGGTTTAGGTTTGTTCAAATCATGACCCCTGGGGGGTAGGGCGGGGCCACAACATTGAATCCAAGTTTTACATAGAGACATATAGAAAAAAAAACTTCTTTTCAAGAATATCAAAGCCATGATTAGTCATATTCATATAGATGCATTCTCAAGTAGTGTAGATTCAATTTTGTTCAAGTCATGACCCCTGGGGGTAGGATGAGGCCACAATGTAAGTTCAAATGTAAAGGGCAATAAAACCACAAGTAGTCAAAGAAATATACAAGCATCCTTAGTGTTGATTAAGTTTGTTCAAATCATACCCTTTTAATGATTGGTTGGGACCACTATTGGGTTTAAACTTTTCAATAGTAAACTTATTTAGAACTGCTTTTTTCCTAGCCAGATTGCTCAGGTGAGTGATGTGGCCCATGGGCCTCTTGTTTCAGTTTGTGATTCTATGAGAAATATTGGCTGACAGGAAATGGGAATAAGTTCAGAGAATATTTTATGATAATTGTATATTAATATACTGGTAACAAAAATTGAAATTGGGAGGAGTTAGGAGTGTAAATGTATATCTTTTCTGATTGTATGTTATATTTGATTGACAGAAGTTTGAGAGGAGTTGGGAAGTGTATATCAGTTTGTGATTGTATGATAATTGTTGATTGACAGGAGATGGGGAGGAGTTGGGAGGTGTATAATAGTTTGTGATTGTATGATAATTGTTGATTGACAGGAGATGGGGAGGAATTTGGAGGTGTATAACAGTTTGTGATTGTATGATAATTGTTGATTGACAGGAGATGGGGAGGAGTTGGCAGGTGATCCAGGCAGAGCCAGATGAGGAGGGAGGAGAGGACACAGAGACAGATAATGATGAGTAAGAGAGGGGAACCATGTCACTGTTTTAATCAGATTCTTGGAATCTCTGTTATTGATCTCTGAAGGGTCCTATGAGGGTCTGTATGACGATACTGTATTGGTATATTGGAATCGCTTGGTGTTAATTTCTTTTAAATTTGTCCTTAACAATAATTTGTAAATTCAAGACACAGTGGACCAATTATATTTAAAAGATTAATATAATTGTAGAAAATATAGACAAACTAGCTTTTTTGGGGGGGGGGGGGAGGGGGGAGTGAAAAAAACAGGAATTTTTAAACCCATGTAGAGAAATTGATACAATGCACTGGTCAGGCTTTTGTATTGACTGTCAGTGTATGTTGAGTACCTGTTAATTTCAGAAGCTGGGGAGACTGGGAAGAAGCGGGGTCACAGGCGGTGTGTCTCTTCTGTGATTTCTCCTCCTGTGTGGCTGACAAACTCACGGCTCATATGCAGGTCAGAATAATCCTAGAAAACAAATCTCACGGCTCATATGCAGGTCAGAATAATCCTAGAAAACAAATCTCACAGCTCATATGCAGGTCAGAATAATCCTAGAAAACAAATCTCACAGCTCATATGCAGGTCAGAATAATCCTAGAAAACAAATCTCACAGCTCATATGCAGGTCAGAATAATCCTAGTAAACAAATCTCACGGCTCATATGCAGGTCAGAATAAAGTAGATTTTGTTTTTTGGTGTTATTGTAATTTTTATTATAACCAGAATGATGTAATTTAAGGATAAACTTTAATTTAAATTTTCCTCCTACACTAGGAACTGCATGACTTTGATTTGAAGGAGGTGAAACTGCGACTGAACTTGAACTTTTACCAACAGATCAAGTTAATCAACTTTATAAGAAGACAGGTGAGTTTTTTGTATAGGGGGCATCTAGAGTACACATGTTTTGTTTGACTTGCTGTGCTGCTCAGACTAAGATTTGTTCCTGAATTCCTTTCAGGTCTACTTAGGGAACTTTTAAGACTGATTTGTTACTGAATTTCTTTCAGGTCTACTTAGGGATCTGTAATGACTTATTTGTCACTGAATTTCTTTCAGGTCTACTTAGGAAACTGTTATGGCTGTGGAGAGAAGTTTGCAGACAAGAGAGAGTTGATGGAACATATGCACACTCAGCAGCATGTGGACAGGTTTCCTGATACAGCTGTGTGGGACCAACCCCAGTAAGTACCATAGAATGCACTGTGTACTCACAGTCTGTAAAGTTTGATGTGATTAAGCCTATTTGAGGGCTGTTGGAAAAAAAAAAATATTGCAATCATCAAAAATTGTTTCACTCCTGAACCTTACCGAGCTATTTTAAGAACTGCTGGTATGATTATATAATGAACAATGAACCCCTTCACTAAAGGTGCAAAATTAATTACCACAGATTTGGGATAAACTGGTCATTTTTGAAAGTGTAACAATTATAGAAAATCTTCTTCACTCTGTACTCCTAGACATATCCAACCTGTGAAATTAATTTCCCTGCGGTTCAGGCCCTACTAAGGAAGATGCTAAATTCATGATATCTTTAAAAACCAGAAGTCTCTGTTGAGACTGTAGCTCTACTGGTTTGTGCTTATAACAAAGGATGAGAAAAGAAGCCATTGCTATTAGACCAAAACTGTAGAAGGAGTAGCGTTTTAAAGGAATTTCACACATTTCTATTTTTAGTAACAATGGCAACACTTTCATCAAAATCAAAAACCGATGAACTACTCTATATATCTTAGAGTAGTCTACTTGTGTGCCAAGTTATATTGCAATCAGACCAAAACTGTAGGAGGAGTAGCGTTTTAAAGGAATTTCACAGGAAAGTAACCATGGCAACACCGTTCATCGAAATCAAAATCTGATGCACTATTCTATATATAATAGTGTAGACTACTTGTGTGCCAAGTTATATTGAAATCAGATCAAAATTATAGGAGGAGTAGAGTTTTAAAGGAATTTCACAGAAAATTCTATTTTTATTAACCATGACAACACCATTCATTGAAATCAAAAATGGATGCACTATTTTATGTATCTTTATGTAGTCTACTTGTGTTCCAAGTCATATTGAAATCAGATCAAAATTGTAGGAGGAGTAATGTTTTAAAGGAATTTCACAGGAAATTATATTTTTAGTAACCATGGCAACACTGTTCATCGAAATCAAAAACCGATGCACTATTTTATGTATCTTAGTGTAGTCTACTTGTGTGCCAAGTTATATTGAAATCAGATCAAAATTGTAGGAGGAGTAGCGTTTTAAAGGAATTTCACAGAAAATTCTATTTTTAGTAACCATGGCAACACCATTCATCGAAATCAAAAACCGATGCACTATTTTATGTATCTTTGTGTAGTCTACTTGTGTGCCAAGTTATATTGAAATCAGATAAAAATTGTAGGAGGAGTAGCGTTTTAAAGGAATTTCACAGAAAATTCTATTTTTAGTAACCATGGCAACACCATTCATCGAAATCAAAAACCGATGCAATATTTTATGAATCTTTGTGTAGTCTACTTGTGTGCCAAGTTATATTGAAATCAGATCAAAACTGTAGGAGGTGTAGCATTTTAAAGGAATTTCACAGAAAATTCTATTTTTAGTAACCATGGCAACACCGGTCATCGAAATAAAAATCCGATGCACTATTTTATGTATCTTTGTGTAGTCTACTTGTGTGCCAAGTTATATTAAAATCAGACCTAAACTTTAGGAGGAGTAGCGTTTTGAAAAATTGTTTACAGACAGACGGACGGACGACGGACGCATTACTATCGCATAAGCTCTTCTGGTCTCTGACCAGTAGAGCTAAAAACTACCGGTATGTTTTGGGGATATATAGCAGGCACACCGAGAAATGTAAGTTCTCAAATAATTACCATAATTTTAGAATTCATATTCCAATATAGGAATCTATTCTTTCTCTGTAGGTATTTCTTCCCTACTTATGAGAATGACAATTTACTGTGTCAGCTGGAGGATGATGAAGACTTGGGGGAGGGTGGAAGAAATCAAGTCATCGCAGAGGATCTCCCCCCCATCACCACTATACTGACACAGGAGAGTGTTCGGAGGGACATTCTGTCCTGATCAGGACGGCGAGAGACAGGGACATTCTGTCCTGATCAGGGCAGAGTGAGACAGGGACATTAGATCAATCAGGCATTTGTCAGGAGGGACGTTATACACTGACTCAGGAGTGATTCAAGGAACTATGGGCCATGAACAAGGAAATAACCCCGAATCCTGATCACAAGTCCTGATCAGGAAAGTGTAAACATTTTATCAGGATTTATATCATGTGATGAAATTTGTGATATAATAAATTGTTTTTGTTGCTTAAACACTTTTATTTATTTATTTTTTTTTTAGTTTTCCATTAACCAAGAGAAGTGACATTCCATAGATGTATTTTGTAAAGTTATAGAAAAAACTTTAATTGACAAAGGAAAGTAAAATTTGATTTCAAACTGAGGATACACCATAATTTAAAATTCTTCTACTCAAAAATGACTGAATCAATGAAAGCACTGTATTTGTGTACAGTTTCATGTATGAAGAAAATCTTTGTTACTCATATCTCTTTGACAATTAGCAAGGAAGGTCTGATCATGAGCATTGGTCCAATACCAAAAAAAGACCCACAGATTAAGTTCTGAGGCTAGATTGATGAACATGTTAAAAGAACAAACAAGTTTTAATTAATAAGATAATGAGGATATATAATTAATCAACCTAACGATAGGGCAAATAATTATATTCTTGAGTGATGACCTTTGTTTAAACGTTTAAACGTTTAAAAATTCTAAACACAATATTCTGGCTAAGGTTTATTGATAAAAATAACAATATATACTCCCATAACAAACATAAATATCTCAACCAGTGGCAGAACAATGTATTGAATTCAACAACATATATATACTAAAACTATATACACTAACAACGCTTAGAATATGAAAACTGTTAACATGATTACAAGTAAACTTAATGTATCGCTCAACAATGATGTAAATTTGCCATTCAACAATACTATACTTCATGACTTGGTTATCTTTGTACAATATATAACAAGATGTATAACTCTGACAACATCAGCAAGGAACCTAAAACAACAGATATCTGTCCATACAATATTCATATTCTGTCTATAGAACATCCGCAGACTCTTACAACAACAGATATCTGCCCATACAGCATTTAAAGATCCCATTGTCAACAAGAGCTTGATTAAGAGCAAAGTTTACAGTGAGTCGCATCTAAAAACAGATACAGTCCAGTATTTCATTCCTGCATATAGAGCATATTGTCACAATGTTATATTTATAAATTCACATATAATAATCTTTCATTCCTAGGTAAATAGTTCTGGATTTTTCAGATAAATTTAATTCCATTCATGTAATGAGAAAGTCTGATTAAAATATGGTACCAGCCATATATAAATATATAATTCTCATTTAAACTTGAATCTTTCCAGTAGGAAAAGTAATTACAAAGTAGAACCTTGGGTATTACACCAGTATACAAAATATGTAACTATCACACAGCTGATCAACAAAGATAAGTTCAACAGAAAAGAACAAACCATTGCACAAAAAATAAGACTGTAGAAGAGGAGAAATCTGATATTGATATTAATCAAAAGTAGTAGCACATATTTAAATTTAAGACGATAATCCTATATGGAAATATAATTTATGCCAATTCTAATGAATATGAGAGCTCCCAAATAAAGATGGAAGAAAGGATGGGGTGATATGACAGCTACCTGATCACATGATCTGCTAAAGAAGGTATCTTTCAACTTGAAAATTGCCAATGGTCATATTTATCTTAGGTTATTTTTCATCAAATTTTTATCTGTATGGCATACTAATTTTTTTTGAATTATATTTTTATTTCACATTGTAGACCAATGTCATCATTACAGAAAAAAAATCATAGGGTCCTTTCTTTAAAAAACATACAGAATTTTTTATTTAATAAGGCTGCACCTTTACTGATGTAAACTTATAGTTAAGATTTTAGATTTTCCACTTAATTTGTAAAATGTCTGATCAGACCCAAGCTGCAGTAGTGGCTTTTTTAAAGAATTGAAAAGAATCATATTTTTGGAACCAAAGCGTCACAGTTTGCCTAAATTAAGCATTGATATATAGATACACAAGAATTATGTATATTTTGTCTTACTAAAATTATACCCAAACTGTATGAGGAGTAGCATTTTGAAATATTGTTTACAGATGGACAGATAACAGACAACTTATCAGTAGATGAGCTTTTCTGCTCTCTGATCAGTAGAGCTGAAAACAATTACTTAAATGATAGACTATTACAGTTTTACATAAATAGAACAGAGCATGCTTTGAGTGACATCTTAATTTACAATTGATTCTCCAAATCAAATTATAAAATAAATGTATCAATAAATGAAAAGATGACATATCAATCTCCTCCATGACAAGTCTAACAACTCCTCTTAACCAAGGAACTACCGTTTCCTAAGGAGGCCCATTGTCAGATCTCTCTGATTTGCCTGTTTCTGTCAGATCCACAGGTTCGTCTGCTCCATGACTACCCGACATTTGAATCTCTTCATCAGTGAAGGACGAATTGAGTACTTCCCCCTCTTCTTCAGACCGTGTTAAATCTTCTGAATTCTCAGACGTCAACTGCCATCCGGACATGCCAACTTTGAAATGTGATTTTTTATGTCGCTGCAGATTCCAGCTGCGAGAGAACCGCTTACCACAGATGGGACACACGTGCCGCAGAATGTGGTTGTATCTGTGAAATTTGAGGGATCTGTTGTCTTTGAAGCTCTTACCACAAGTACTGCAGGTGAAGAGTTCGCCTGAGGTACTCCCAAACTCCCCACTGGTGTGCTCATGCTTCTGGGGGAAGGTGGACTTCCGGTTCCGTTTTGGTATGAAGGATGGGTGACCTCTGTCATGGAGCACCATGTGAATACCAAGAGCCTTACTGCTGTTGAACTTCTGTTGACATATAGAGCATGCATGGTAGAGCCCGGGGGTATCTATCTCTGAAGGAGAGTGCTGCTCCCCCAAACTAGACTGGCTCAATCCAACAGACTCAGCTGGTTTCTGGGAAAAGCTTGTATCCACTGACAGGATAGAACTTTGGCCATGATGTTCCTCCTCTCTGTTTTGATCAATTTCATTGCACACACTGCTTTCTGATTTACTCTTTTCTCTTGGTTTAGGAGCAAACAGATGAAAAGGCTGAGGGGAGGGGCGAGGAAACAGCAGAGGTCGGGGGTAGGGATGACCTAGATATGTTGGAGATAACTGGGTCATGTCAATGATGTTCAGTCCAGGGTTTGGCAGGTACTGCATTCTCTTAGCCAGGGTGCCTGGTGATACGAGTTCTTCTCTGGCATGCTCTTCTCTGGCTACTAAAGAATACAGAAATCAAAATTAAACTTCTGTCAAACAAAAGGTCTTAAAAATATGCCTATTTTAGAAGATAATTCATGAGTCCGACCTCTGTTCGGGTTCTTTATGTTTTTGATTTGACCACAGATCCTCTAACCTGGCTCTGGGTGTTCCTGTTTGACTATTTCCAGGTCTGGAGTCTCCACTGAACTAGTTTCTGACACAGGTCGGCCAGAAGTAGAGACATTAGGACTGGTTCCGGGGCTGAATCGACCAGAGCTCTCAACAAAAAACAGCTCACTGGAGCTCCGTTCTTTAGGAGATGGTGAAGTTGTCTTCTCCTGTATCTCTGAAGCAATCTACAAAACCAGCATTTCACCTTTATATCAACTTTAATTTTATTATCATCTTTTTTTTCTTTAGCATACCATTATTTTGAGGGAATAGAAAGTTGCAAATTGTAAGGAAAACACATTTTTAAATTCTATGTACAAGTTGCCCATCCTTAACCTCTTAAAGTGTTGATTTTGTTGTTACTTTAAAGATGTTATCACATTATACTTTAGTTACAAAAAGTGTGACAAAGCTGTGGATTGATGCAGGTACTATTTAATACTTGTATTTAACATTGTTTAAAAAAAATCATACCTCACACACAAATGCCTGATGTGCCCGCAAAAATGTCTGGCATAATTTCTCCACTTCTTTTATTTGTAACACTGTAGCAACAGATAACAGTTTCTCTGCTGATACGGAATCAACGGTTATCACTCCAGAATAACAGAAATCCAGCAGACCCTTCAGGCTTCCCTCATCCAAGCGATGGCAGTTGAAATCTGACAGGTAGTTATTTTGTTGTGAGAATGCTTGATAGAAGTAGGGACTGAAGGCAGCCAGTACAACACGATGAGCCCGAAGTCGTTTAGTATTGGTTACGAGGGTGATGTCGCAGAACTCTTCATGCTTGTAGAATTCTTGGAAGGCTACATTCAACTTTGGCAGTTGTTTTTCACTTCTATATACCATTGACAAAGGTGCTGAATCCATTTGTTAAACTGTGTGCAATTTAGAGCCTCAGTCTTGTCCTTTACATTCTGTGGTATAGTTAAAGTCACACACCTTCAACTTCTGGATTCTAGCTACAAAAATTAAATTAATATTAAACATGTTAATTGTTAAACTTAAAAGTAAATCTATTATTGATAAAACTTGATATTATAACCAAACTTAACCATGTTAACCGAATTTAATGTTACCTCTTTAAATATTTATCTTAAATCTGATTCATACTTTTTTCAAGAGTTACTCTTTGAAATATAATAAGAAAAGCACTACTACTAGGTGTCACTTTAATTAGTATTTAATTAATTTATTTTTAAAGCTCAATAATTATAATTGCATAAACGACAGGTGTAAGATAATTAGGCCTTAAATACAACTATTGCTTTGCAAAATTTGAAAGTCAGAGTGAATTCAATTTAAAGTAGGCCTAACTGATTCTGAAGTGGATTGTATTTCATGCAATACTATACATTCTACATAGTATAGTATACACATATCATCTGTTCAGAATAAAAAGTTACAGAAATTAACCCACCCGGCCACCCACCCCCTTAATTCGACACTAATCAGAAGTCCTCTTGGGGTCAGTATTTAAATTTCATGAGAGCAAAAGCCTAAATATGAAGAAGAAACACTGAATAGGTAATATAGGTAACATATCTGAGGGATTTTCAAAAATAGTAGTCAAATAAATAAAATTATACATCAAATATAAACATGCATTGCACAAGAACAAGGAATTATATACATTGAATACAATCCAAGTGCAGTGTTAATGAAAATGCTGTATGCAGAACAACTTGAAATAATGACTACACGGCTGAGCAACATCAATTAGTATGGAAAACCTTGGTAAAACTACAAGTTTGCACTCTTCCACTTACCCGAAATACCTTTCAAGACATCCACTATGATCTTTGTCAATGTCTAAAACTCAGTCTGCGAAACACATTGCAGCTTGCCAACTAAGGAATTAAATATGGAAACATTTCACATTTCTTTTCTTTTTATTTTGACGGCAGCTGTCATCTAAATATTTATAATTTATCTCCCCTTATCATTTTTAAATCCTAAATAGAGAACCATTCCTGTTGATAGCAGGAAAATTCCGGCTGACATTTATAGGAGTAAAAGTATTTATTTCCACAACTTTGAAATAAAAACAGCATATTTATAAGTTGCTTAATAGTAAAGAATGTCTCAAACATAACCAACTTGTCACTGTTAAAGCAAAAAGTGAACAAATTTCTTGGTACGAATAAGTTTAAGAACAACTTGGCAAATTTTTTTACCCACACCACAAGTTTCGCATTGTCACCGGTGAGAAATTAGTTCAAATAGCTTGTATTTCAAGGTATTTTCATCTTCGAATAACTTATTATTTTGCCAAACGATAACAACTAACAAGTATTTGTGTGATTTATTCAATATTCACTCTATAAGCTGGTCATTTTGGCTACACCAGGCCCAGTACAGGCTATACCAGGTCCAATACTATCTCTTTATTTGGCTATAGTTTTATAAACCTATAACCTATTACAGATATCTATTTTGTGCGTGTAAAATTATGAAAAAAAATTATTTAAAAAAAAAACGAGAACCAAAAATTGCATTCTGAGTTGTCATGTTATACAAGGCCATGTGAGAAATACGAACACAAAAGATGTATTTTAAGTTTTAAATTTTCTAAAAAGTTTTACTGTTGAATAAAGACATACTTTATAGGCCTATAGGCCCTATTCACAATTTCACATCTATGTGAATCAATAAAATCTGAAAATTCAGGGTTTTTAAAATCAAAAAGCACTGAAAAATTCAATTCAGTTTGCATGTCATTTTGGAAATTTTACCTAAATTTCGGGGGAAAGTGTGTAAATTGTAAGCTGTGAATTGTAGCGATTGACTTCATGACTGTGTGAAATTATGTCAACTTTCAAGAATCATCTGTTGAATTTACTTAGAATATATTTTACCTTTTTTTCTTTCCAGAGTGTGAATAATGTTTCTAACAAGATCTGAATATGACCGTGGTGTTAACACATTTTCTCCAGAAGGCCGTTTGTTCCAAGTAGAATATGCCATAGAGGCTATAAAGGTATGTGGTCATTTTTATTTTTTGAGAGGATGAGTTTGTGACTTGGCATTCTTTTTAGTTCACTCTTTATCTTGTTTTGACAAACTGGTATTAAGCCCTAGTAAAGGCATCAAAAAACATGATTATTTTGGGAAACTAATGGGAAACTTAAACCCTAATAATAGATCTCAATTTACAATCAAATATTTACTTTGAAAAGATATAATTGCAGCTTGGTTCAACAGCAATTGGCATACAGACATCAGAAGGGGTAGTTTTGGCTGTAGAGAAGAGAGTTACGTCCCCTTTAATTGAACCTTCTAGTATAGAAAAAGTTTTTGAAGTGGATGATCATATAGGTGAGCATAGAAGAGAGCATTCTATTAAACTAAAAATTATTTCAAACCTTTATTTGTCATTTGAATGCAAGGCATTAACTAGAACAAATTGAATCTGTTTATACTTCAAGATTTCACAAATGAACTGTTCTTTGTTGATACATGTTACTTTAATAATTTATTTCTGAACTATTTTGTAGCCTGTGCTATGAGTGGTTTAATTGCAGACTCCAGAACATTAATAGATCGGGCTAGAGTTGAAGCACAGGTGAGTTTCCAGATTGAAGAATTGGTAATGAGTAATTCGTATTCATGAGGAAAATGTTCAGCTCACATATAAAGGAGAGAGAGAGACAGTATAAGATGTACTCTATTTATATTTCCTGTAGAATCACTGGTTTACATACAATGCTAAGATGTCGGTTGAGAGCGTGACTCAGGCTGTCAGTAACTTAGCCCTACAGTTTGGAGATGACGATGCAGACCCAGGAGCAATGGTAAGGCATGAACCCTCACAGTAGATAAAAGGAAATCAAGTTATTATCTTACTGAGGTACAATTTATTGAATTTTGTTTTAAAGATTAGATGCATTATCTTTATAAAGAAAAAAAAGTTTTGTTTGTTAAAATTGTGAGATGTTGAATAAATTATATCATAAAAGGATGTGTTGCAAGAATATATTTTCTTATTTCAGAGTCGTCCCTTTGGTGTGGCATTACTTTTTGCTGGCATTGACAAGAAAGGACCACAACTGTGAGTTTTATGTATTATAAACATAAATTTGATTCAATTTGATCTTTTCTTAACCAAATTTGAAGCTATTTATTCTGGTTTAGAAATTTTCCTCAGTCCTGTAAGAGTAATTCATTTCTATATATTTACATTCAGTATGATTTTCCTTATGAAATTCATTAGAAATCCACGACGTTCAATTTTCTATAACACACGCGAAACCTTGTCACCACGCGTTAGAATACATAGTAGAAACTATATGCAATTTCAATACTCTAGGAACACCAAAATGTAAAATGTTTTATTTCAATTTAATGAAAAACTATAATCCTGAAAAATTAACGTAAAAATTAACGTAACGTGCGTTAAGAATTAATTTGTCACTTTTTTCCTCGCAATGTTTGTTTGCGTAAGTTAATTTTGCAGCGTCATTTGACATCACAAACGGCTCTTACATCTATTAACCACGGCAGTTTTGAAGGGGGCTAAATTCACATTAAAGATTAACGAAATAAGCAATTATGAAGAACGAAAATTAGAGAATGTAAATATAAGCATTGAATTCATATTTTTGGATGTCTTCGGTCCTATAACACACCTGGCCGTGCCGACAAATTATCATACCGCGCTAACGCGCAGTATTCAATTTGTCGGCACGGCCAGGTGTGTTATAGGACCGAAGACATCCAAAAATATGAATTCAATGCTTAAGTAAACCAACAGTGAGTGCCTCTAATATATATGTATTTTCTAAATGTTTTTTTCTTTTTTATCTGACAGTTAAAGTCAGCTTTTCTGATTGAATAAATTTATATCAATTTAGAGCCATATATAAAATGTAAAATTTGCCACTGCCCATAAACCCTGTTCTTTATAATTGTGTCTTTTGTTAGGTATCACATGGATCCATCAGGAACCTTCATACAGTATGATGCCAAAGCTATAGGTTCAGGATCAGAGGGGGCACAGCAAGCCCTACAGGACACATACCATAAGGTACTGTCACATGTAGTTCACTGGACATTGACCAATAATAGAAAGTCAAGTAGGCCAGCTACTAACCATTAGGATATGACCGAAAAACCTTTTATTGAGCTTATTTTATTTTCAGAATTTATATAAAATTTATAAATATAAAATGCAATGTCAGTTCAGAATATTGTATTACTGTAGAAGTACTTTTTTCCGCATGGTATTATTTTACGCTATGTACGCGGTCACAAATTTTTCGCGGAAATTTGTCCAAGCCTACTTAATATTAATGTAAAGCATATAGTGACAGTTTAAGAAATTCGCGTAATTTTCTACCCGCGGATTAAACAGAAATTGTGATTCCGCAGAATTATGACCCCGCGGAAAAAAGTACGTTTACAGTATATCAAGGAGTTAGGGTAGAAGTGTATAGATGAGTTTTGTTTGCTGTACAGCTGATAATGGAAATTATGTGCACTGTTGATTTTTCTTTACAGTCTATGACTCTCAAGGAAGCTTGTAAATCTGCTTTAACAATACTGAAACAGGTCATGGAAGAAAAATTAAACTCCACAAATGTTGAGGTGTGTAGTAACAGTCTATATAACACAGTCGGTGTAAATTCTAATGGTCAGTGTCTTTTTATTTACACTCTAAGACTCATTCTTTTCTCTTCAGATGGGACAAGTGACTCCGGAGAAGAAATTCCATATGTTTACAAAGCAGGAGTTGGAAGATGTGATCAAAGACATATAACTTTTGACATTTATTTGTTACATTTTTTGATATAACATTCATATTTCATATCTGTACCTCTGTAATGTATGAACAATGAAGTGCTATTAATAAAAAGAGAGGGATGATTTACAAGAATTTGCTCATTAGTCTGTTTCAGTCAGAATATAAGAACTTTTTTACATTACTGCTTGGATTATTCATGAAGGATGGATGCTTTTAGGACTTTAATGTGAATTTTTCTTTGCATGCAATATGCTCTTCATATAAAATTCATATTAACGTAATGTCAAAATTGCTTCAAGTTTTCACCAAATTTTGCATGTCATTTTTATACCCCCCGCAAACGAAGTTTAGGGGGGGTATATTGGAATCACCATGTCCGTCTGTCTGTCTGTCTGTAGACGAGATTTTGTCCGGACCATTACTCAGAAACTATTGGAAGGATTTGTTTGAAAATTTGTACAAATATTATTCACCATATGAAGTTGTGCACCTGATATTTTCATCTTGATTTGATTATTATTTTGAATTTTACAGGTGTTTTTTTCATTTTTATTTTGTGGTTTTGTCCAGACCGTTTCTCAGAAACTATTGCAAGGATTAATCTGAAAATTTGTACACTTATTATTCACCATATGAAGGTGTGCAATTGGAATTTTCAACTCTTTTTGTTCATTTTTTTGCATTTTACAGGTTTTATTTTTTATTTCAATTGACTTGTTCATTTTGGGCTCATGTTTAAGGTTTGAGACATAGAATCTAGAATATCTGTACAAAAATACTACAGCTTAAAACTACTCATATAAACTTTAAAAAAAGAAACATCATCAAGTGTTAAAAACAGTTTTTACATTGCACAGAAGATAATGTAATTTTATTTATCTCTTGGGAATAATGACTGGACATGCATCCAGTTAAAGATAAATTAATGAGTTTGGTGTGGGAAATTGAACATTAAGGCATCTTATTATCAACCATGTGTAATCTCCTGGGAATCAGGCACAAGAATTAAAGATCTCTCCTCTTATTCTCTTAATTGGAATTTATTGTCTGTCAAAGCACTTCATTAATGGATGACCAGCTCTTTATTTTCAATTGAATTTGATATAAAGTTATCAAGATTAATTTGATTTTGTATAATATGATTTTTTTTCAACAATCAGTTTGCAGAGTGACATAACACATAATTGCAATATATTTTTTTAATGCAG